ATATATATATATATATATACGACAGCAGTTAATCTTTCCTACTCTATATGTTTGTAGTAGTTCTTTATTATGTATGTCGCATTAATTCAATTGTTCTCTTACTACTTATTGATGTTCATTAAACAATAAGTGTTAGTGATGTTTATATATGCAGAATGATGTGCAGAACAATTTTTTCATTGCTATGGTTGTAACAGTAACCCTAAAGTCTATAAACGAGGGTCCACAAGAGGGAAGCTGGGACGTATTTTCCCCGGAAGGAATATGTCACATTGACTCCCAATTTCCTGTTCAGAGATTAATGAAACAAACCATGAATGGTACTTCTAAAAAGGTAAAAAGCTTCAAACGTCCATTAGCTTAGAACTTGGAAAGCTCAGAGAAAACAAAATGTCTTTATAAATAACTGAAGTCCTTTTGTTTTTTAACCTTTTTTTTTTACCTGTGAAGGGAGCAAAATCATTAGGCTTATGGTAGAGAGGCTTTCCTTTAAATAACTCCAATGTCAATACCAAATTTCAAATACCTCTGCAGGTATTATGAAAACATGCTAAAAGCTACTATTTCAGGGATTTGTTTGCTGTAAAGCCACATTTGGTTCTTAGCTCTTCCCTCTTTCATTTACTATCAGAAACAAACTTTCCAGTAGAGAGAAAGGAAAATGGCTGTAACTGTGCTAAATCAAGACTCCAAGAGCTTCATCGTACCTATTAGGAGTAAAACATTAACTGTTTATAACCCTATTTCAGAATGAATGCTTACTGAAAGCAAAATGAGGTAATTCATAAAAAAAAATCTTGGATAAACAACTTTGCTTTCACCTAACCAAACCCTACGTTTCTGTGAAGCTCTTTGATAAATTCAAGTTCTTCGATGAGGATGCAGGCTACAACTTCGTAGCTGCCAGGTAAAGGTAAAGTATGAGCCGCTGGAAACCAGGTTAAAGGTTACAGAGCTCTGTACCGCCCCAGCATGCAGTATGTCTCACAGATCTGAGCCTCAGGTCTTTTGGCTAAGGCACTTATTTGTCTGTGTTTCAGAGTTAGAGGTGATCTGATGGCTTAACAGGTTTGTCAGATACAGCAGTATGAGTTTGATCACCGGGAAAAGCAGAGGAAGAAACATTGTGGCCTCCTTGTGTAAGAGTTGGCATTGTTTTCTTGTGTTTTCATTTGCTCAGTTTCGACTTGTCTCCAGAATGGGTGCAACCCTCTCCAGCCCCACAGTGTGACAGAAGGGAAGGTGAGTTGATCATACATGTACAGTATGTGAGTTCATCGTGATTTGTCAGCTCTTAGGCTCGTCTGGGAGTGCTTTCCCAGGAGTATGCAGGTCCTTGCAGGGTCTGGACAATGATGAGGTGGTCGGGGAGTCCCACTCCAGGCCTTGGTCCGGCTCAGGGGACAGAGAGAAGAGCAGCAGTGTCCCTGCATCTGAAGAACAAGTGGAACAAAGGTCATCGCAGGAGAGATTGAGGCTGCCCAACTTGGCTAGCGAGTTGGACCGCTTCAGCCTCGAGGGCACGGTTAGACCCGCCAGCCGCATTCGGGTTTCAATCTCCTGTGCCCTTTGACGCACCAGGCCAGGTTTTCCACGGACGCTGCGCAGACTGTCACTACTGGAGCTACGTGTCAGAGTGGAGCCATGTGGTGAGGAGGTGGGCGTGAGCATCCCTGAGCCCACTACCCCCAACAAGGCTTCATTGGTCAGTGGCACTACCAGTGGCTCTAACCGCACTTGGCATGGGGTTGAAGTTTTAGCAAAATCCCCTCTAAAGCTGGAGAAATCCTCCCTTTCCTGACTTTGAGAGGAGCAACTCTTAGACTTCTGGCATTCCTGGAAGGACATCCCTGTAAGTCTCTCAAGCCTCTCCGCTCGGCGCCGGACCAGCCCCGAACGATGCAGCTGCATAAGGCTCTCCTGCTGTTGGCCAAGATGACAAGCCACTGCAGGTGTCTCATCCTCAAAATCTGCTTTCATCAACTCGGGGAGAACATCTGAGGCAGACTGGATGTCTGGAAGCTTGGTCTTTATATGGATCCTATCCTCAGTCTCCTCTTTCTGCAGTGAGCTGATGCATGGCTGTTCATCTATGGAGAGCAGAACCTTGGCAGAGGCTGCACAGTTGGCACAGTCACATGTGGGAACACAGGGGCTAAGCAGTCCTGGTGAGGATGAGAGGCCTTCACAGGATGTTTGAGAACGAAGCAATGAAGCACTTTGGACTTCGGACGGAGGGCTGGGATTAAGGCAAAGCTCAGATGAAGAAAAGGAATGCTCTTTCTTGTAAGACTCAGACAGTACTGAAGCATCTCTGTGAAGAAGGAAGGAGGAAGCTTCGTCCTACATAAAGACACATTAAAAAATGTTAGATAACTCGTCACATAAAGGAATCCTCTTAATGAATTATAAAATCACCCTAAGTTTAATATATTACAGATCTATTACATATAAAGTGATATATTTCAAATGTTTATTTTTGGCAGTAGTGATGTTTACAGCCTCTGAAACCAAAGGTTACATTTCTTATGAAATTAGAGCAACACTGTCAAAGAATTTCTATAAAATCCTTAATTTTAATTTTAAGATGAAATTATTTTTTCCAAACTCAAGCCTAGCAAGCTTTTTGAGATCTTGCCTCATTTTTAACAGTTCGAGAGCAAAAAATAGATTTTCCAAATTAAGAATTGTGAAAAACATTGAGTATCCCCTAAAAAGTTTCTAATTGACAAACTTTTATACCATTATATAGTTTGAAGAAATTCCTCCTTTCCCAATAATGACGGATTATTGCATCATAGTTATTAAGATAATCTAAGGTAGGGGTGTCAAACTAATTTTCACGTTGGGTCACTTTATAATTTTTAAGCATTTTTAAAGGGCTGATGGCATCTGTTGAAAATGAAACCTTTAATCTAGGGAAGCATGACATACTGGCATTAACGGTATCTGTGGAGGTTTTTTAATTTTTTACTATTTTGATATTGTTCTGTTGCCCATTTCTGTTACAGCGTCCAAAGGTTAGGAAACTATATAATGCAACATTAATATCAGATATAGTTAAGGACCCAGATTTACATATTCCTACTTTAATTTAATCATTTTATTTTGAAAAACAACACACTTCTCTAGTTTTACTTCATTTATTTAGCAGTTGTAGCCACTTTGTGCTTTTTAAAATATATGCCTCTATTTAATGACAGACATGCCTTTTTTGGCTCTAGAGGGCCAAATAAATGGCCCTGGTGGTCCAGATTCAGCCCGCGGGTCTTAAGTTTTACACGTTTTAAGATGAGAAAAAAAAATCTGTGAAATCAAAGTTATTATTTATCTATAGTTTATTTTATGTAGCCTAAAAAGTAGTTTTCCAGACTCCTGAAAACGGTGTAGGAAACCATGATGTCACGATGTGTTCAATACTTTAGTTTTGGGTTTGATTCTTTGTAGCCTAGCTCCCCCCAAACTTCAAAATGTGCTTCGCATGAAGATCCTTTTGAGGATGAAATGATCCCATGTCACCTTCTTACCTTTTTCTACCACAGTTTTTTCTTCCACTCAACTTCCTGTTAATATGTTTGAATGTCACACTCTAACCTTTTGTATATATATATATCTTTTGTGAATTATTGACTCTGTTAAGGACATCTGTCAATTCAGCAATCTTTCTCACGAATATAAAAAAACATAAAATGATGTTATTGTTTGATAAAACATTCTAATTCTTATTTTCAGACAAAGATAATTTTTGTTTTTTATAAACTGTAAGAAATAGTCATCAAAATGAATGGAAACAAATGGCTGAAAAAGGCCTTCTGTGCAATACGGAAGGGAATATGGAATATGTCTTTATGTTTAAATGTAATTAATGGAACTAGAACCTTTTTTAATAAAATATATTAATATTGTAATTCACAGAGACAGACCTGAACAATAGCTGACATTTATATGTTTTCACAATGTGACTTACGTTGTCGTTTTGTCGAAAGCTGAAATGGTTGTTGTTGTTTGAATTTTCATTGAGCGAGGCCAGATCCATCCCAATCCCTTCTGCATCCCCCTCAACCTCTTCATCATGTGTCTCAGCGCCGCCTCCTTTGTCATCCGGCTGCATTAACACCTCCATCTCTGCCTCCTCCTTTTGCACATCCTCCTCATCCTCCTCCTTCACAGTGTTGAACTCCAACCTAAGCCGCAGCTCCTCCAGGGGTTCGGGCCCCCGGCTGCAGGTCTGTGCGGAGGTGCCCTCAGCCACGGGTCCAAAGTGAGCGAGCGGGAGGCCATCCCGTCCATTGAAAGCCTCGTCGTCCAGTAAAGCATCTCTTTCTACGTCTTCTATCTCTATGAAGACTTTTTCCATACCGAGAAGAGGAGGCCCGCGCACAGGAGTTGATGGTTCGCTGTCCAGAGCTGAGTCCGAGAGCCGGCGGAAGTAGTAGTTGTTGTAGGCAGGGTCGATGTCCAGGGCAACTGTCCTGCATGGAGAGTGTCCCACTGCGCCTTTATCAGATGACACCTCCTCAGAGCAAGGAGACATCCCTGGTTCTGCAGTAGGATCCCCTCCATCCTCCCCTCCACAGCACTGCGCCATTCCCTGCTGACCTTCTGCCATCTCACAGTCTGCATCCGGGTGCCACAGTTTGTTGTGCCGCTGTTTGCTGGAAGCAGAGAAGAACATTAGGAACACAAAGAGGACAAGTTAAAAAAAGTCTATAAGTATTGAATGGTGACAATTCTTCACAGACAGGGGAAAATAAAAGTACCTGGCGTCTAAAATACCCTCATACTCTGCCAACTGCCTCATGAAACCAGCATTAGGTCGTGTGATGTTCCTCTTCTGCTTCACAAAGTCATACGCCCTCTCCAGAGACCAGCCGTATTCCTTCATGGCATAAGCAATGACGGTGGAGGCAGAGCGACTGACCCCCATCTTGCAGTGGACGAGACACTTTGAGTCGTTCTTTCTATTGGGTAAAAATGACACATGTATCTGTGTGATAAAACTAGCCTTTTCACTTAAACATACAAATGGAGGATTTTCACAAATTTCTGAAAAGACCCGCCCTCTCCACGCGTTTAATAGGAACGCCTATTAAACGTGTGTGAGAGCATGCAGAAGCCCATTACTCCTCATGCACACTCTGTTTAAAAGTATACATACAAGCTTAGTTTAAAAAAGAAGATTAGCAATTTTTCCACCATGTTAGACTCATCAACAGTAAGTGAAAATGGGGATGAGCATGTAGGATGGCTTTACTTTAACATATCACCAGAATGAATAACAATTAGGAGGATCACTTATTTTGATGATCCACCCGGAAAAAGAACATCCTCCACTATACCTTTAATTGTTCAAAATTACTGTATAAAAATTAGGAAGAAACGAAAAGAGTGGATAAAATAAAACACAAGACTCAGAGCTACTAACAAAAAAGAAAAACAACTACTGCACTGCTTTTTATTTTCTGAGTTTTTAAAACTTAAATATTAAGTAGTACACACTTTTTTCAAACATGAAGAAAAAACATTAGGCAAAACATCTTCATGTAGATACGTAGACCTGTATGCAACAAAATGTGACACATGGAGTATTCTGACAATCAACAGGAATCAAACCTATTTTCTAGGTAGCAGAGCTTGTTCACTGAATAGACAGCATGGGTTTAGCCTTTGGTCTAGAACAGAGGCAGGTCCTCCAGTGTCACGGTCCTGCAGTTTTTGCATGCATCCTTTCTTCAACACACCTCAAGCAAATAAATGGTAATGGCCAGGCCTCTGCTAAACTTACCAACATGCCAAGGAGGTAATTTGGCCTTTTTTTCTGGTGTGTTGGAGCAGGGGTGAATGCAAAAGCTGCAGGACTGTGGCACACAAAGACCGACATTGCGTACCCCTGATATATTCAGTTCTGTTTATCTATAAAGGGCCAATTCACATCATGTCATCTCAAGGCACTCTAAAGAGACAATGCTGTGAAATTGAGTAAGAAAACCAGTTGATAGCATCTAATCACTGGCGTGCAGCAACAACCTCTGCCTGAATTTGTCGTTGACTATTCAGTAATCCCTCACACCATGCAAGCACGTAATGACAGTAGAGAGGAAAACTCCCTTTTAACGGGAAGAAACCTCCAGAAGAACCAGGCTGAGTGTGAGCGGCCATCTGCCGAGGCAGACTGGCCTCTACAAAAACCTTTGCACAAATCAACATCAGGGCTGGGTATTTTAGCCAAAGTCCTGAATCAGTTAATTAATTAATTTCGATTCGATCTGTTTTTACAATAATGAAAGTGGTTCAGTTGTGTTTAAATAAGATACTCATGTATTTAATTTTTTTCCTGTCACGTTAAACACAAAGTGCAAACTTGTAAATCAGACAGTTGGAACTAGAGATGTAAACAAAACTGTCTCAACAGTGCAAACTTGTTTGTGAAAAGTGAGAAAGTGAAGCCTGACTCGAGCGAGCAGACGTGACACAGCGGGGACACAGCAGACATGCATGAGCTGCATTATCTTCACTGCAAAAACCATATGTGCAGCGTTGTCGGTAACAACTACAGGGTGTTTGCTGGTCAGCCCCCATTTGTTATTGTCTTAAGTCAAACTATTAGCTAAATTTGCAGCTGTCTGGCTTGAAGTAATCTTGAGTGCATCTTTCCTGCTCATTTGAATGTGAACGTTACACGCGTCACTATAAAACTAATCGATCTCATTCCCTAGACATCGATTTTAAAAAACTGCAAAGGAATCGATTCAAAATCGATTGAATCGATTTTTTACCCAGCCCTGATCAACATTTGGAAGAACATGGCGACAGATCTAAAGAGTGTCTGGTAAAAGAATTGACTGGGTATTTTGTTTGATATTTATCAGGTATAGCCAGTGTCTGGAAAAAATACACAAAACTGAAATGAAAACACAAATATACATTTTAAAACATAAATGTACATTTTCATCATTGAATTCGGACATCCGCAAACATAGGAAGTGGATCATTTAAGAAACAATAGAAAAGTTCTACTAAAACAAACAAAATGCTGTGAACCATAGAGAACTCACTTTGCTTTCATGATGAAGTTATACGTGTCGTTCCAGTGAGCCAGTAGATCCGTGGCCTCTTCATCGTAGACCCGGATATTGTGATAACAGAAAGTCCCTGGGAAGAAGTTGTCTATCTCCCTGGTAACGTTAAGAATATAGCCCACCCTGGAGAGAAACACAACGGGAACTTATCGCCAACATTCTTTCTCCCTCAAATCATAATGAAAATATGTGTTGTGTGAGGTTATCTTAGTTCTACTAGAATCTTAAATAAATCACCCTGTCTCCTGCAGCTCCTCCAAATTAGACGCATTCCATTCAGATCCCTAAAAGCAAATGAGAGAAAGCACTGTTTAGTCTCACTGTGTTTAGCTTGGTTTAGGGATGTTCTGATCTTCAAAATCATTATTTCATTAAGAACATAAATTAAGTAGAAAAATGTCTTAGGAATGTTAAGGAAAATGATCAAGGCTGGCTGACATTTTTGTACGACTGTAGAAGAGTTTAAAGCTTCCCACCAGGTAGACATGGTCAAAAATGAGAGTGGCTTTGTCCATCTGGCCGAGGATCAGCAGCATCTCATTGTCAATGAACTCCTTGTACTCTTTTAAGTTGCAGTTCATGTGCTGCTCCAACTCTGTTCGGATCTGAATGTAAAAAGAAAAAAAATTATGCCTTTATTACTGTACCAATGGTTTTGTAATATATATTCCTATTCAGCCTAGGGTGCAGAAAAGGGCTCTGACACCATTTCAAAATTTAATTTCAACTGTAGAAAGATGTGGATGTGTCTCAGAGAACAAGACTTTCACATGAATCTGCTTTCAAACAAAACAGGCAGAAAAAATTTCATTAGGCAGAAGATTTATCCATTGCTTTAATATCATCCCTGAATTACAATATGGAAGGGAGACTTAAACTGAGCAGCATAAAACAACATTTTAAAAGCCACAACTGTAACATGGAAAAATCCTATCACTTATTCCCAGAATCACAGAATATTTTTGCTTAGATTTTTGTTTTTTATCTGTTGAGTTGAAAATATATGGCTGTAGCATGTTTAGTCACCTGTAATCAAAAAAACAAAACTCTGCAAAAACAACAAAGATACCACAGCTAAGTCAGTTAACAAAAAACTAAAATAATGTGCCCTTTTTTGTACAAAATTAAAATAAAATTATACTGGAATGTCATTTGTGACACATTTCAAACTGTTTAGATAGAAGCTTTGAAAGAAAGATGAAACAAAAAAAAAAACAAGTTTACAAGGCTAAAATGCCTAAAATGTCTGGCAGTGAAAGAGGAACAGAGAAATACACCATCTTTTTAATAGCCTATTAAAAAGTCAGAATGATGTTGCTTTTGCTCCTTAAGACCGAGAATGGTCAGATTTAAGAAATGGAGTTAAAAACATCTTCTGGGTGCCAGCCGCTGAACCCACCTAGAGGCAACTGACTCTTGACCTCAGTATTTTTTGAGTGCTGCGTACGTCCCTGGTTATGTGTCTCAGATCTCGACATGCTGCTGTTTCAAAATTGACTTAAGTCTTACCCAAAAGTAATAGCAAAAGTTCCTGTTTTTAATTTACAGAAATGGAGTTATACTCCTAAAGAGAATATAGGTGGATCTTAATCAATCAATTTTAGTAGCGTAGCCGGGTGTAGCAGAAAAAAATCAGTTGTTGTGGAGAATTGTGTAGGTATGGCGAGTGGGAAAGAACAGGAGTTGGAAGACGCGCCAGCAGCACTTTATAGGTCTACTGTATGGGACCGCTTTGCATTTAGAGTGACCTACGATGACGGCGGAAAGAAAGTTGTGGATAAAAGTGCAACAGTGTGCAAGCATTGTGCAACACGTTTGGTTTATGCTTACAGCAACATGACCAACATGTCAGGCTAACAATCAACATATTCCGAACCGAACCGAAAACCGTGACCACGAAACCGTGAACCGAACCGAGGATTAAAAGTGCGCATAACTCGTTTTTTTATTTCTAAAAGAGCTATTGTAGACTTTAGATAGAGACGATCTCCTTTAGCTGTCTGTAACCTCCTAAATATGAACATTTAAGGTCACAGATTCACAAACTGTGTTTTTGAGAATCTGTAAATAGTTTAAAAGAAACAGTTTGACCCATTTTATCAGTACTTTGAGCCACAAAGGGAAACATTCAGTAGAACAGTATTTTCTTCCAGTGCTCAAAAAATTATATCAGGAGCCTCTTGGAGTGCGATCTCATTGCACTCCCATGATTTATGTTTTTACCTGTTTGCAGGTGACGTTCTCTAGGTCCTGGGATGTCATTATGCTTCTAAGTTTGGATTTGATAAGGCACTCTGTCCTTTCCCTCTCCGAAGGTCTAGAAATAACACAGCATCATAAAAACCTTAACCAATACACAAAGAAATTAAGTTGTTTAAATTAGACTATTTTGTCATGATTTTGTCCTAATAATAATTGTTTCACTAAGAGGTGAAAAGATTTAACTTACTTGTCAACAAACATGATGGGTGAGTCTGGGCGCGTGGTTTCTAAGTCCTTCATGGCGTTCCACTCATTGATGCAGCTCTGCTCGGAAGCAATGCAGCTCTCATAGTATCCCATCCAGGTGAGGGCCATGCACCCAGGGAAGTAGTTAAACCTTCGTGATACCTCACACGCTTTGTGCAGCACCTGCAATGCTGACCTACATTTTTTTTGATCCCACAATTAAAGATAGGTAAAATAGAGACATTTTAAGATATTTGTGACAAACATTTAAATAATCTGGGTTCTCAAATCTGCTTTGTAACAAACTGATGCAGATACGTTTCCCTGCCAGCAGATGGCCCAGTCATTAACTATTCATCACGACAGTGACTGGTAGTCAGGGGAATTGCTGTGCTATTCCATCACAAGTTAACAGCAGTAGAGAGCCACAGTGACTCAACAAGTTTATTAGTACTCACCACATAGCCTGCACTGACACGGGCTTGAAGACATGAGTCCGACCTGCTGTGTTTACAGTGAAGCCCCTGAGGAGCAGACAAAACAGATGGGGAACCGAATGAGTGGGGGGAAAAGATGCTGTTTCGGTGTGAATCAAACTCGTCTGAAGTGTCAGGGAATGGATGCGGGGATTGTCAAAGAGCTGAAAAAAAATAAACAGTGCTACAGCTTTGCTCCCTGCACTTTCTGACAGACTGGGGGACTGAGGGCTGAAATAGCTCACCCATCTCCATCCAGATGGATCTTGGTATCGCTCCAAAGAGGTAGCACCATGCCGATTGAACAGCTTTTACTGGCACAGAAAAAAGTGAAAGGATTTTAGGAACATAGACAAAGGAGTCTAAGAATTAAACAAATTATTTCTGTGAAGGAAAAAAAAAATTCTACAATCAAATTCTTCTTCCTGTGATTGTTGAAAATACACTTAAATTGGCCTTTTCCATGCAGTTCAGTATGTATTACGGTAGTTACTACAAACTTTCCATTAAACATAGTTATTTTGTTTGTTCTTTTTAGGTGAAATAAAAAAATGCCTTTTGTGACTAAAACTTGTATTTTTTTGGATACTTGATTGTGAAAAAAAAACCGTGCATTTCTTTATCTCAATGTTTCACAATAAAAACAATCCCATGTTGCTAACATGATCACATAATCCTATAAGAACACTAAAAGTTTTCAAATGTATTTAGTCTGGATAACTTCACATTATTGAGAAGTCTCAAAGAATTATAATGGATTTAATTATCATAAGTGGGTAAGTCAAATTTAAAACAAAATAAAACATGCAATTTGTTGGAAGAATAACCCGCCCAGAACAGAAATTAAGCCCAAATTTTGATTCTTTAAGATGAAAAACTTTCTTTGTCTCTAAACACCCTCTATCTATAACCTGTTTTAGTGCTATAGTTTTAGCTTCACCATTTATGTAAAATGTCTCCATAAAGCATGCTTTGCTGTCCAAATATTAAATTTTGTTTATCAAAACAGTATTCAAGGTAATTAGTTATCAAAATTATACACATATAATTTTATGATCATATCTATCATAGTACCAGTCTTTGTTGTTGAAGTCGAATCCCAAAAGAATGTTCTCTTCTGTGTCCTGCCGGCCGCTAGTATACACCACCACCATGTACCGAACACGATCTGACCACGCACTCTCCAGACGCACTGCCTGCAAAGGGAACAACCAGGTTACATTAAAATGCTTCAAGTTTTATAGAAAAGTTATATACGTATATTTTAATGTCTGTTATGTGAAAAGAGATAGAAGATTGAAAACGACAATTTTGACCAACTATTGTGATAAAGGGTAGAAAAAAGTGGAACTTTAAATTGCAGTATGTTTGAAAAAGCATTGCTGATGGATATATAAATATAGAATAAATTCTATCAATAATATTAGAATTAAGTGGACACATCTTGCAAGGCATCAAACAGGAATTACTATGAGCAATAAAGCCTCCAAGTGCACTTTGATTAGCTGTAGTCACCAGCTTCATTTAGCAGGGATTTGGATTTATGCTTCTGATGTCTCTTACCAGTTTGATTCTGTCCTCTGAGCGGAGAAGGTTTATCATCACCTGCAGGTGTTGCGGTAGGTCACCTGTTTAAGAAGGGAGAGGGTTGTTGGAGTCAATCATCATAAATCAGCATCATCCAAGTGTTCATCTCCTGCCTCATTAAGTATCAACTGAAAGTGACAGCTGTTCAAAAACAGTTCAGTCAATTTCATCACACCATTTCAAATGGGACAATATTTAGCAAACAATGGTGCCACGTCTTTGAAGAACCATTCTTCCTTTATTTTTCATTTATTCCTCCTCCCTTGGCAGCTGGATAACAAAATAGGAGGAATCTACAGCAACAAAAGTAGCGGATGGCTGTGATCCAAAAAAGATAAACTTATTTCCCAGCAGGTAAAAAGGTCTTGTGATTCTCTAGACGCACAACAATTATATATATATTTTTATTTTAACTTAAGGACTGAATTCAAACAGCCTGATGCAGTCAGCTCACCAGGAGACCTTTCTATTATCTTACTGCAGACTGTACAACTAAGACCAAAACAAATAACAACAAAAACAAAAAACAAGGATATGCATTGAATATTTTTATTAATGGAATCTGTAGTTTTGGCAATCTAAGCCTGATTATAAACAAGCAATATCTGGCGATTCAATTATTGACCTTTTTTTAAATGATGGGAGCTCTATTCAGTTTAAGTTTTCCTATTGATGCTAAAGTGGAAACGTTTGGCAAAGATAGGAATAACTTCCACATACTTTGTTTACCAGATATGATAAATACAACCCAAGAAACGACAGTGGTATTGTTGCACTATTTTAGAACAGGAAAATCTATAGGTAAACCTATAGTTCTACCTAAATACAACAACACCTGAGAACTGACACAGCTATTTCCCATGGCCAAAGTCCCACAGTAGGTCTGACAGATATGTGAGCTAGTTTACAAAGTAAAGACAGATAAAGCTGCCAGGCTCAGCCACAGGTTGCCAAATGACTTGGCAGCAGATGTGTTGTTGGCTCATGGTGAATTCCCACCATGTTTGTGTGCTGGCAGGCCCACTTTGTACTTTTAAAGGAGCGGCCGTGGCTGCACAAAGAAAACTTTAACGATACCGGACAATCAATCTGACTTCAGTTAACACAATAAAAAAGCATACATGTCACTTCACATAAGGTTTATAACCTTAAAAAGGTTTCCTACCTCTGCAAAGTTAAAGGAAAACTAAAACCCTTGCTTTACACTTTGTGTGAATTGTTTGGTATATCTATTAAACATGGTAACAGTTGTGTACCCAGTGGAGTCTGTATGAACAGAAAAGCACACGTGAGTTTCCACAAATGGTCAGGCCCTCCTTAAATCGTCCACAGAGGTTCTGCTAACAGGGCTACCATACGCTGGATTTAAGCTCTAATCTGCCTAAGCTATGGGTCTGGAACACGCTTATCAACGACGCACCCTGCAACCTTCTCGCCCCAGCTCTGAACATCTGCTGCAGCGTTGGGGAATGCAGCAGCTGAACCTCTTCTACACCCAGACTACAGAGCATAAAGATGAATGATCAACCTAGAACCGTGTTTAACTCTCACCTGCATGTTTGTGAGGAGGATGTGCTTTCTGGCTCTGCTGACTGCTTCCTTGCTGCAAGAAGAGAGCGGCGCCCTTCACCATGAAGAAGCTCTCACTCAGACTGCAAAAAAACAGGAGGGAGGAATCTTATAACCATCATTTTGAATCAGGTTGCATGCTTACACTGTAAATCTAATGTGTACAATGAGCACGTAAATGAAATAATGAGGACAGTACAGATCAAAAGTAAAACTCTTAGTTTTAACAGGATTGTTTTGTTCAGTTCGATGGAGCCAAAGAGACAATCGTAAATCACGGCTGTCTGCTCCTTGCCAATTCACTCAACAGCTCAGAGGAGTAGCCAAGCTGCCACGTTACAGAGGCAGACCTCAGGATTGACGCTTTGAACTGAGAGCTTATCTATCTTCTGGTGGCTACATGGGCTTTACACAATTCCCCTATTCAACTTGTTGGTCTTTTTTTGGCTGAGGCTAATGCTAAGATCTAAATATCGACCTCAAGTACAGTTCTTTCAAAATAAACAAAAACAAGTTTTATAACTTAAAAAAAATAATTAAAAAAACTCTCCCAAATAAAAAAAAAAAAAAAAAAAAGAAAGCATCCAATTCATTAAAGAAGCTCCAATAAAATGATGAGATGTTTCCTTCAGGCTGAGTTCAATCGTTCCAATTAAGCGAAACAGGATCAGTAAATCTACCTGACAGTGGGGTGGAACACATGCACCATGTATTCAACGTGTGCCAGGACATCATTAGAAGAGTACAGAACTGATGATAGACAAAATCAAAACAGATCCTTACATGTGCTAAAGACAAGCCTGTCTGTAAATACTACTGCCATGACATCACTGTTTTCAGATTGAGGAAACGGACAGTTAAAAATCTGCCACAACCCAAAGATGAACACTGTGAAAGTCTATTTATTTCGTTGACTGAATTAAATTAATTCCACGTTGAATTTATTGTATATATATTGAAGGTAAACTTAAGAATCTCAATATTACAAATGATACTGGAATGACAATTCCCACTGGTTTCCTTAGCTCTTCTTTCTTTTCCATCATCATGATGTCTCCAGCACTCTCCATGCATTTTAACATCTACAGATGTTAAAACAGAGTTATGGTAAAGCACTTGAAACATAAGACCAAATATTTTTTTTTTTACAAATTTGACAGTGGATGAATGAGTAATTAGAGATTTGTTTTATTGAGGTTCATAATAATAATCTCTATTTATAGAGCACCAATTCACAACAAATATTAATAAAAGCCACTTCATAAAACAAAATGGGAATCCAATTCTGAGGGTAGCCAAACACTATTTGTTTTATCTGAATTGGTCTTTTAGATAAAATTATATTTATGTTATCTAAAAGACCAATTCAGAACAGTTCATCCCAACTCAGTTTAAGTACAGAGATCAAGTAATCCAACTTTGTAGAAAGTTTTTTTTTTCTTCTTTAAATTGAGCAAACCCAGCAGATTGCATCAAGATTGAATGGGACTCTGCAGCAATCTCTCACCCTGAAAATATTATGATGACTTACTGAAAACGTCTGAAAGAAAAATCTGACTAAACTTCCTGTCTTTTTGGTCAGACAATCACACCCCACATGCAGCTAAAATGCCTGAACCAAACAGAATATTATGTGGGAACAATGGCTTTCATTATGTGACCCTCACAGTAAATTCTGACCACCTCCAGTGCTGCAGAAAATAAAACGACTGTGCACGGGGGTGGACAATTTTCAACAAGAGCTTTTGTGTCATTTTTAGAACATTTATGGTCTTACTTTGGTCTGCGTTTAAGATTTATAATAGAAGGGCTAATTAAAAAAGCGGAACAAAACTGGAGTAGCTGCCTTGTCAAGAACAGAGATCTAATAGAAATTAATGATGACAGATATTTATATTTTTAAGAGTGCAAAATTGTAAAACCTGTTTTTTTGTTATAAAAATAGAGCTGTCTAACTACAGATATCAAAACTAAACAGCGTAGTTCCTCTTGTTCCCTTCGACATCCTGCTATCAGCTTCTTCTAAAATGCTAGGGCTAAAAACTATCATCCAAATTCGGCAAAACTCTAACAGCTATAAAAAAAATATTCAAGCCACAATAATCAAACTGTGCCCCTGCAACAGTTCAAGTTCGGTTTGTTAAGGTGAGGTCCACAAGGAGACCTGCATTTAAATAAACAACATTTTTCAACACTCACATGCGGTTTATCTCATTTTGGGTCAACACGGCATTCTCCACAAAATAAGGTAGCATCTTCATCACAGCCTCCTGAAAGGGCTCTACGACCAGATGCATCCTGTCCACTGAAGTATCACCACGATCTGCCTGGTACCAAGCTAACTCCTCTTCATCCGCATCCAGAAACAGTTGGAGGAAAGAAAGGGGTGATTAAAGCTTCGGGTCGGTCCCAGTGGTTTTGAGTGACAGACTGACAGACAGTCTGAACTCATTTGGGCTGCTCAGTGGAGCAGTGCCGTCTGTTTAGAGGCCCCTCCCTCTGATTGCCTCTTCCTCCTCCCCTCATCTCAGCGTCTCCGTTTGTGAGTCAGGCTCCTTGCCTGTAGGGACACACTGCAGCCTCCACCCGCTGCCTCAGGCACACATGGCCCGTCTCCTTAGGTCCCTCAGTGAGCCTTGTCTCTGTCACTATCTTTTTGTAGTGTAAAGAAGTCTGTAATCAAGAATCTAGAAGTAAAGCATAACTCAGAGGGTGGGTCTCTCTTTTCATTAGTGTAATCTTAACTCTGTTCTTTCCTTAAACTTCAGGTCAGCCTTTTTAAGGTAAAGAAAAGTTTCCTGTTCAGGAAGTGCAAAAATATCAAATTTTCCAGAAAAAAAAAGCAGAACTTCCTATTTATGCCTTACGTTACAGTGCATAAAAAGAAAAATCTATTGGTTTTTCCAGAAAACATCCAATAAATCAGATGTCTGATAATTGATCATGAAAGCCAGGGCAGCGCTTGAGCAAAAGTCAAGCAAAAAGTGGAACAACAGCTGAGAAGAGCTGGAATTCTCCCAAAAGCCCTAAATCTCATTATGGACGAGCTTATATAGAGAAGGATTATCTCTTTTCTTTAAGTGGCTGGTGCTAGCTGTCACTCACTCACATGTACTGCCGTCAAACACGCTATCTGAGATTATTAGAGATTATGGCAGGTTAAGGGTCCTATGTCCTATACATCACCTAGATGTAAGAGAGATCTCCTAAAGGTGAAAAGGATTTAAAAACTAGATTTATTTGTGTAAATAGAGGACTGGATATCACAAGATAAAGCTTCAACAAACACTTAGATAGTATAAACAGTCAGTTTAGTCTATTTGAGGCATCCTAAAGTTTTATGCATCTTGTCAATGTGCATGGAGAAAACTTCCCCTTAAACTAATCTCCAGTTTCAGAAGAATACAGTATGGATGACAAATAATTTCTGTAATATCATAAGGACTGCTGCTCTGTAGGCATCCAGATGGTTCTAGATAAGGAAAAAAAAAACAGGACCAGATATCCTCTAAGCCACTACCTTGAGTTGCTGGGTGAACATGTGAGACAGCTGCTCTGAATTACTCTTTAAAGCAGCCATTCAGAAGCTGTTTTCAGGCTGGTTTGGTCATGTTTCACAGAGCAGCAACACAAGGAGGGAGGAAAAAAAAAACTCTCTGGAGGCTCTCCATTGCATAACCCTAGCATTTTTTCACCAACACTTTTCTCAGAAAACAAAAGGAGAGGTGCAAGGGAGAAAAACTGTGTCAGGTTTCGATGGGCCTGAGCAAGAAACAAATGACTTCATGATTTTACCGGGGGAAATACAAGACAAAAAAAAAAAAGACAAATACGTGATCCCTCTGCAGCAGTTTGTTAACCTGTCTTTAACCTGTGCTGGTTCACTGAACCATAAATCTAGGAAGGAGAATGGATGATATTAGAAGTACAGCCACCAGGTTTTACAGTCAATACCTAATTCTGGTTTTATCAAGTTAGGTTATAACCTGTCGAATCAAATATTGTTCCATTCTGTTACCTTAATACACTGACCAGAGGTTGGACCTAGCTCACATATTGGATGAGTTTGAAATCAACTAGATGAAATCATAAAAACACTTTGGACTTAATTCAGACTTAATCGTTATGATATGAAAACACTTGCCATTTTGCCAGAAACAACAACTCTGATTTATTTCTTAAATAAATACCTAGAATGACTCATTTTCTGACAGTTTAAAAGACAATAAAAGTTTCAAATTAATTCGATACCCTTAACATCTATGGAAATTGTAAAAAGGTAGCAGAAGAAAAAACATTGAGCAGTGTTGGGCTAAATACCTGTAATTGTTTGACTTGTTTACATAACTTTACAGGCAGGAGAAAAGGAAAAATAAGTATCAATCAGCCAATTCACTAAAAAAGGTCTCACAGTATAAATATAAAAAACAACTGCTAATGTTGATGTTAACAAAGGAATTGTAGAATAATTGTCTTTGGAAAGATCGGTTCAAAAGTGAGTTATGTGAAAATAAGAACAGAGGCTATGTTTTCAATCAAATAGAGCAAAGACCCTCGTGCCCACATAGCATTGAGATGGAAGCATAAAGGTGGAGTTTTACCATGCACCTGAGGGTACTTGAGGAAAATATTAGACAACCTTGTAAAAGACTTAAAGCTGAAGAAGAAACAGCTGCAACGTGATGAGATTATAATTAACCAAGGATAGTAACTAATGCTTAGGTAACATCTGTTAATCAGCTAATGATTAACCAATGATACTGCCACCTGTAGCTCTGCTCGTTCTCGTAGGTCATGCTCGTACTTAAAGGTTTAAGGGAGGATTTTTGCAAATTTTTGAAAAGACCCTTCCTCTCCCCTTTAAAAAAAATGGGAAATGCAAAACCCTGTGCCTCATCTCGAGAGGGAATGCCTATTAAACGTGAGAGCCAATTTCTCGTGCACGCTCTATTTAAAAGTTTATTTGTCTGTTTGCATCGCTCATGCAAGCCTACTTTCCAAAAGAGGATTTGCAATTTTTTCCACTATGTCAGACTCACCACCGGTGTTATGCCGAGAAATACCTGCCTGCAGAGAATTACCTCCCCTCTTACACACTGATGAGGAAACGGATCGAAATACTAACGAAAAGGGAACTTTCAAACATATTCTTTATGTTTTCATATATAATTATGCATGGATGTCCTAAAATTGGGAGTTTTGGTGGACAGATAAATGCCAAGAAACTCCTGCCTGCCAAGAATTTCCTCCCCTGTCATGGTAGCGTGCATAGCCCTAAACTGTCGCACATTGATGAGAAAACAGATTGAAATATGAACAAAAAGGTAACTTTTAAACATATTCTTAATATTTTGTCAGAAATTATACAAAATTGTGTTGATAGCAAAAGCGGAAAATGCCATCCATTGAGCAGAGAATATATTCATTGGACACTGACTGTAGCACACTGATTAAAACGCGCCTCCATACATACAATGCATAAGAAATAGGAAAACATAACGAATATGTTAAAAAGTTCCCTTATCATTTATATTGCAATCCGTTTTCTATTCGGTGTGCGAGAGGAGAGGTATTTCTCGGCATAACACCTGTAAATGAAAATAGGGATGAGCATGTAGGACGGCCTTACATAAACATATCACAAGAATGATTGACTATTAGGAGGACCACTTATTTTGATGATCCACCTGGAACAAAAACATCCTCCACTGTACCTTTTGTGCTTTTTTTTCACCTTACCTGGAGTTGCCATTGGTTTTTGAGTTGAGCTGGATGCCAGTCCCTTTTGAGTATCCACAAAATCCATCTTGAATATAATGCTTCAATTGTTTGCTAGGTCGAACCAATTTAACCAGTGTATTCTCATTATGAGTTCATATGAAATCGTACGAAAAGTTATGCACCGTAATTTCGTACGTTTTGGACGTTTTATTCGTCGTATGCGCATGCGCATCTTACACACCATTCACTAATATAGAATATAAATTACAATTAGCCCTAACCCTGACCCTAACCCTAAGATATAAAACAGCAAGCAACGTAGTTAGAGACATAAATAAGTAATGATTGCACTGTTTTTCCCAGTTTTACGACCGTCCGCGGATCTGCTTTTTTTTTTCTGTCTGCCAGCACATGCGCACTGATGTGGTTTTTTGAGGAAAAACATCCAAAACGTACGAAATAGTGTGCATAACTTTGCGTTCGATTTCATACGAACTGATAATGAGAATATGTTGATTTAACATGGGCATGCATGAAGTCACATCCGCCGAACTTCCAACCCAAGGCAAATTCAGGAAAATAAGCTACAGACTTATAGATGCATCGGTGCTTAACTACTGAGGAGTCACTCTGCTCATCAAATTATATTTTAGTCATAAATGATCAAATAAAAATACTATTTCAGAGATATTTTTCAGTTAAAACCTACATAATTTTTCCTTACTTTTACTTTTTTTTGTTTTTAAACAACAAAACAAAAAACATAAAATAAAAAAATGAAATGGAATGAAAAGCCCTATTTAAATATGACCAAAAGATTTTTCTTTCTCTGTTTTTAGTAAAAACATCTCTTAGGATAACTAGGTTAAACGAGCTACGTAAGGTAGAGGAAAAAGGATTTAAACTCAAATAGTTTTTACTGTATTGTACTGTAATTTAGCTTGAAATATAAGCTCGCTTAAAATGTAACATTTATGCACTGGGTCTCAAGACTTGTAGGTTTAGACTTGGTTGAAAGACTTTGTTATGACATATAAAAATAAAGACTTGGTCCCATCACCACTAAAGACAATAACACACAAAATCATACTGGTCTATTACTTAATTAATAAGCAAATCATTTCACTTAAGTTTATTGGCCTGAAAATCATCAATCAGAACTGATAAACTTAACCTGGATAATTTTTCTGCCTTATATATGAATCTTTGGTAAAGTAACTCAATGTTAAAAGTAAGATGCTGCCCTTACACTGAAACTAAAGTACCACCACAATTTCTTCAGTTTACAAGCCAGTTAAATGAAATCATTGTTTGGTTCCTTTCCAAAGACACCTGCATGATGTTTATGTTGGCTCCCATCACCTTTCTTGGCTCTTCATCATCATTAAGTTCAGCCAGCAAGCACAAACATTCCCAATTGGCAGAACTTCAGCTGTCCGTCAACAGATGCTACCTCTCAACGTGTACATCAGATAAGCACACCCTGATAAATGTGTCTATAAAGTTAACAACAACTCCATACTTCTATGCTATAACCATGCATTTAGTAGGTTTATTACTCAATGTGGTTTACTAAGCCCTCAAAAAATGGAAGAAATCTAGAGGCAGGCCAGGACTCGCATTATGTATAGATCATGCATTACCAGAGGACATTCCATGGGCTGTTGCATAACCAAAAACAAACAGAGCAGCTTGTATGATGTAGCCTCCCTCAGTTCACAATTCTTCTGAGGTAAAGTTGGCAGGATTAAAAGTGTGTAGAAATGTAGTGCTCACAAAAGGACAACCCATGTTCACAAGAGGAAAAAGGAAAATGAGTGACATTTAAACTCCCACCTAGTTATCTTCTTGTCAAGTAGGATTTTGGGCTGACGTGTGGTGTTAAATAAGCTTTTGTTCTGATTAGATCTGAACTGAAATTAAATCCCAGTGTTTGCTCCATAGAAGTTGTGTTACAGCGCTGTCCAATGAAGCTTGACGGAACTTGCTTTGCATATTTGTATCAAGTATTTACAACATAATAAGCTGATTATTTTGTTTTGAAGCCTATATCTGTTAGGACTTCTCCATGTTGGAAAATATAAGAATCAGAATTTATTGTAGTTTACAAACATATTAAAACCTTCTGCTTTATATTTTACCCCCAAACTGAGTTAATGGGATTAAGACTAGCTGGGTAGTTTTATCAAAAGATTGAATCAAAATAGTATATCTGTTTGCTGAGTTTGAGAAAAGAAAATAACTTTACTACCAGATCACAGATAAATAACAATATTACAATAGGTGGGCTGTGTTAATGACCACTTACTAAAATATGAGCTTGGTCTTTTTAAATAATACTAGCCTTTTGCAATTTTCTGTCTAAGACTTCTATGGGATGTGTCTATCAGGTCTTCTATTATGTAAACAAACTATTGTTTGAATGCTGTTAGAATTTTATACTTTGCTTTATTTCTCATCAAATGTAAAAACTAAGTTTTTAAAACTAAATGTAAAAACTAAGTTTTTACATTTGCAGCAAAATCCAACTCAGTCGTTGACTGAAAAAGTAACAAATTATAAGCTTTTTCTCTCATCTCAGCCAACAATAGATAACACACGTGGTCTAATCAAAGAAGAAAAAAGAAAATTTGAACAAAGGCAAACAAACAGACACATCAGTTAATATATTCCTTCAGGTTAGGTAACGTGAACGTTATAGCTGGCTATTAAAAAGGAAACTTCTTTGCCAACCAGACAGACAAACAGGTGTTGTAACCCATTTGCTCTAATTTTCTCGATGCCAGCGAGTCTGCCGCCACTCAAGATTTTATGGCATGAGTCAAATACAGATGCAGATAGTCTGTAAATAACACCTGCCTTATACATTTGAGAGGCTTTGTTTGGCAACATGCAGCAGAGGGTATAGCTGCAGTTTAAAGTCAACTTACCTCTGATTCACTCGCCGCTCATCTTCACTCCCAAAGTCCTGCAGATAAGAGAAGAAGAAAGTATATTTCAATGGAAATACTTAGATCACAAAACACGCACTAAACATTTGGAGGACCTGTTTTTCTCCTGTTTTATGTTCTGGCTTTTTGAACACACCAGAGTAAAGGGCCACCAGCAAGCACCAGTGGATTTTTCCCACTGGCTGAAAAAAACAGTTTAAACCCGGGAACAATCGGCTCAAACGCCTCGTCAAGCAACCCACGTTAAAATCGCCTCGGCTCTGATCAGCATGCTGTGGGAACACCAGAGTCGGGTTGACCCGCTAAATTACACCATTGAACACAACGAACGGGCGCCAACACACCGCGCCAGTCGCTTCTGCTCTAACAAACCAAAACAACTCTTAACATTTGTTAAACATGGTGCAGCACTGGATTCGTAAAGCTAATAGAGTGAAACAATAACACACACTTACTAATCCTTGGCTTACTTACATGTTGCTCTCCATTGTCTACTTTAGTGATTTATGTCGCACTGGTAACATTACCAATGCTAACCCAGCATGATGGTGCAGGCATATGGACCCATGTTTGAAAAAACATGTGTAAACCCGCCATTTTCAGTGGGAAAGAGGCTGAGAAGAGAAAAAAATCCCTTTCAAAGTTCCTTCACATTCTACATTTAAAAGCTCGAGACTTTGCAAGACCCAGATTACTTAAAATAATTTTCATTGTATTTTTTTCATTTGAATTCTGAAAACATTTATGTTAAACAAAAGTTGCACTTTTGACTCAATCTTCGTCTTAACTTAATTCTTCTACCCTTGGCTAATCTGTTAAGACCAGTGGCAATATTGAAGCAATCTTATTATATGATTTCACAATTGCGAACTTATAAGGATGTTTGCTTTTACAAGTGGTAACAGTAAAATTTGTCCTATTTGAACATATTTAATGACAATGTTCTTAGTTTCTTTCATCATACTAGAATGGGAAGAACAATTGCATCAGGAGAAATGCAGTTTTATGAACAAGGATGAACTTGAGTTATGTCCTGACTGCTTTTAAACATGAACCTGCAGGCGAATTCCAGTGCAGACAGGCAAAAAGCACTGTTTTTTTTCTTAACTTTAGCACCGATAACTAAAAGACTTTCTGACTTTTATTGAAACCTATTCTATATTACTAAAGGGTTTTTCATATAAAAAAATTAAGATTATTTGAAGAAAACAATTACATTCTTCTTATTTATAAGAAGCACATAACATTTAGTTAAAACAAATCCAGCAAATCATACAAAAATACAGTAAAATGTTTTATTCGGGTTCATATGTGATATGGTAAAACTGCCTCTACTTCCATCCTCACCCCATCATGCAAGCATCCACTAGGTGCTTGTTTACACAAGCGATTTTTCCTTTCACTCCAGCACAGCCCTGCTCCTCCAAACCCCCCCACCCCCCAACAGATGACATCATGGCTGCGGCAGATTTCACTCAGCATTTTTTGTCAGATCTGAGCAGAAAATTTAAAGCAGTAACAAGGTGCACAGAAAATACAAAACTAATCCAATGCAGCAATGCGTCTATTGTTAAAAAGCAATTAAGATGACACAGGTGAGTGCTGCGAAAGCTTGATTATGCATCAGGAATCTCCTAAATGTTTGATTTTTGGGGGGCAAGACCATAATTTCGCATCAAAATAAAAGAACAAATGCAAAAATGTGGTCATAATTAAAGCTTAAAAAATGCAGAATGATGCCTTACCTTGAATGTGTTAAATGTAAAACAAGGTGAGCTCATATGTTTACAAATAGTAAGCAGCGCCCCCACCTGGCTATTATCATCTGTACTGGGACATAGTAAAGGAACAATATTGGGATAAATAACTGTTTGGAATAAACTTTAACTTTTCCCCAATTATCAGTGACCATAACAACAAACTCAAAAAAAAAAAAATAAAAATAAAAAAAATACAGATATTTCTGTAGCGTTATGTAGATGACTAAAAAATATTTTTATTCTTGAAAGAATGTGTGTGGATCACATGTTTCTCTTATTTTAAATGACCAATAGGTCATCAAGCTATCAACAGACACATTTCCAGGGCATTCATGTTTGTTTATTTGAAATTAATATATATATATATATATATATGTGAAAATTTAACGTCAAAACATAATTTAAAAGTTTGATTTGGGATATTTTTGACAGTTTTGTCTTAAAAAAAAGATCATAAAGCAAATACTTAAAACAAAAAACAAAAAATGGCCTGTTATTTTATTAGAAAAATATACAACCTATAAGAAAAAACAGATTAAATGACTCAACATGTCATAAACAGCTAACATTGAGGTTAGCTACATCTTCATTCATATCGTATTATAGTACAATTAAGCATATTTTAAATCGCAGCTGCATTTCAATACTTGAATTAATATTTACCAGTCAGCCTATTGACATTGAGATATTTTACATGTTATTGTTATTTTTATAATAGAAGCAGGGAGTTCATACCATCGCTAACATCCTAGCATAACGTGATGGAGCCTAGCATAACACGATAACCAACGGTGCTAATTTAGCTTCAATCAGCGGCCCTTCCTCTGTCAACATCCCCCTCATCCTCACTGTTTCCCAGCTTAACTATCACACCGGCGCATCGCTTTGGTTGCCCCCCTCCGAGGGCCGAGACTGACCTCCCCTGCGGTCGTCGTTGCTGTGCTTGCGGTGGACGCGGCGCTCGGGGTCGGAGACCGCTGCAGTGTTACCAACGCCATGGCTGGAGACCGTGGATGCTGCGCTTCATATGCTGCACCGACACCGGGGGGCGGCCGCTGTGGCCTGCAGAGCTGCAGCTAGCTGCCGGGGCTAACGGTGAGTGGAGCCGGGAGGGAGACAGAGGGATCCTGCAGGATGGGGCTCAATGGTGTGTGCGTGTGCGCGTGCGTGTGTGTGTGGGTGGGTGTTACAGAGCAGGAAGAGAATTTTACTGAAGCAAAAAGTTCTATATCACACATTTAGTCCAACATACCCAAATTACAGAGTAAAAGATACATTCTGTATATTTTTACAGAAGGTACAATTACAATGAACTGTATCCTTTGACTAAAGGCATTTTTATCTTTCCTGCTGCTGTAACAACTGCATTTACATACTTCATACTTTTTATTGCATTTTTATGGTAACATTCACGATATGAAAAATAAATGCAATTTAGTTTTCCTTTTAACTGTCATTGTGTTTTCTCCCACATCACTGAAAGCAATATAATAATTCAACTTTTACTGTCAAGGTCTTGGTTCTGTTATGTTTTCTTTTGAGTTTTCATATTGCTTTGCTCCATGTTTTCTAGTTGTATTGGTTTAATTCCTATTTTGTTGTTTTTTCTGGATATATTTGAGTTCTTAGGTTTTTATTTGTTACCTTCCGTTACCGTCTTGTGTTGGTCACCTTTTCCCTAGCTCCTTTCTAGACTCCTCTCCTCACACCTGCTCCCAATCAACTCGTTAGTCCTCTCTTTGTTCAGTCTATCATAAATACACTCCTTGTGCACTTCCTCAGTGCTGGTTCCTTGTCTTACCTCTTCTCGCCTTACCCTGACTCCACCTGCTCTTTTCCCCTGATATCTCTATGGTACTGGTTAAGTTTTGCATTTTGTATTCCTGCCTCTGTTACCTGTGTTGATTTATTTAAAAGTGCAAAAACTCACCTCTGTCTCTCAGCCTCTGCATTTGGGTCCTCAAACCTCAACTAAACCCTAATGTACATTCAGTTTGTGTAGTATAAGGTGCCAACATAAAACTGTGTGCAGCTGCAACACTGAAGTTATGCTGCATTTTAACATGCCAAATACTGCTGATAATTGTGCTTTTCCTAATGTGAGTATTGATTATATTGTAGTCATGTCACTCCCTTCTAAACAATAGTTTTGCTTATAGCATATATATATATATATATATCCATATATGTTCTGCAGTTAAGTCGTTTAAGATAATATATATGTTCTGCAGTTAAGTCGTTTAAGATAAAATATTTTTTATCTTTTTTCCTGGAGAAATCCAGGTGCAGGTAACCACGGTGTGACACAGGTTGATGCTGCCGCTTGCACTCTTGGTGCTTATCAGAGCCAATGGAGCATTTACAGGCCCGTTGCAAAAAGGCAGGAAAACTTTCAAGACTCTTTCAGCTCCATATAAAAATACCACGAAAAACAAGGATTCCTAATTTGATTATTATTTTTTTTATTCAAAAACACACCAAAAAGAAAACAAAGTCTTGATTCTACTAACCCTCTTACTATGGGATAGAGGTTTAAGGTGGAATCTAAAACCAGAAAGAAACTACAACTCTGCTTTGACAATCATAATTATGAACAACTTGGCAACATGGCAACAACTCACATCTTAATGAAATGTGTAAACTACAAATAATATCTGCTCTGAGTTCTTCAAAATTGTGCAATGTCACTCCAATCTGTAAAGCAGTGGTGTCCAAATTCAGTCCCTAGGAGCTGGTATCTTGCATGTTTTAGTTATTTTCCCTGGGGGTACATACACATTTTTCAGCGTATCAAAGTTCTACACATGCCTTTGACCCAGGTGTTATTAGAGAGATAACTGAAACATCCAGGATGCCTGTTCCTAAAGATGAACTTTGAACCTTGTGAGAAACATAGTGTGGACAATTGTATTTCCAGAAAGAAAAACAGTAAAAGCAGATTACAAAGCTAAACTGAGCCACTAGGAACAAGTAACAACTAGCCTCTTGTGGAGTAGAAAGTACAATATGACTTTGAAACATAGTGGAGAGAAAGGTATAAATGTAAAAATCATTTTCTTTCTCTGAACTTGTTTTCCAGTAGGAAAATCTAAGCTAATGCTACAATATTATTATTATTATTTTTTTTTTTTTTCCATTTAAACTACTTTCAGTATCGTTTTGTTTTGTTTTGAATGTGCGAACTTTCTTAGCTCAAAGATAATAATTTAACTGTTCTATAAAGTATATTAATTGTTGTTAGTGCCTTTCTACATATTGTATTTTTGTGTATCATACGCCATCTCTGGTCTAACGACGGGACCTGAACGCAGCACTTCACACTTGAACGGCTCCCAGCTCCACCCACCACAATGTGACAGATGGAGCCTTGAACGCAGCACACCACACTTGAAAAGCTCCAAGCTCCGCCCACCTCAATGTGACAGATGGAGGCGTAGAAATGGTGTTCAGTCAATGATTAGAAGTTAACACTGAGCAGTAGTAACTCGAGCTTAAGGTAAGATATATAAATATATATATACTGGGGGTTTTTTCAATGTTTTTGGTATTCTTAAATAGATTGCTCGTGATTTTTTTTCGCATCCTGCGGCTATTTTTAATTCCTTTTAATAAATATACAGCGCGTCCATCCCCCGTTATATAAAACTAAGCATGTGGGCTGCTCAAAGTTCGCAAAGCTGCAGAACATGACCTGATTATTTGTGCTTGCTTTTCCCATGCAATTCAGTTTTTGTGTCAGAAAACCCGTCACTCTTTTTTTCTTCTGTGCATTTGATTTCGTTCATGCAATAACATGCATTGAACCTAAAGACAGTTTCAAGTCGGTCTAAACATGTCTTTTTTTTTTTATTATTTATTCCACACATGTTTTGTGGGCTATTATTAACCTGCTTTATGGTGTTTTTCTGCACAAAGAAGTAGGCCATTAAAAGTTCATCTGCCCTGTTTTAGAGCAAAGATGCGGGTGGCAGTGGTTGGAGCTGGAGTCATTGGTCTGTCAACAGCTCAGAGCATCTATGAACAGTACCACTCCACTGTTAGCCCACTGATCATTGAAGTCTATGCAGACTGCTTTACCCCTCTGACCACCAGTGATGGAGCTGCTGGCTTCTGGCAGCCTTACCTCTATGATAAGGGCAACGTCCAGGAGACGTGAGTGCAACCTTTCTTTTATTGTCAATTCATATTTTTTCCTTATCTCTAAAAGTGACAATCAATACAATGTCCTGTCTGTTTCTCTCATTAGAAAATGGAATAAGGAAACGTTTGACTATCTGCTAAATTGGCTCAGCTCACCTGAGGCTGTAAAAATGGGTATATTCCTCCAATCAGGCTACAACCTCTGCACTGAACCTCTTCCAGTGAGTACTGCTTTGATCTTGCAAAATGCACTGTAAGCATAACCTTAGAGATAAGAGCTGCACTCGGTAACCTATTTTAAGTATAAAGATCAAAGTTAACCTCCTAAAGATTAATTATAGAATTATCCCAGACAGGTTCATTATAAGTCATAGATAAAGTCCAATGTTTTTGTTTTTTTCGGCTGCACTGAAGAAGAGCTTTGTTCGGATGAACAATGGATGGTTGCCAACAGTAGTTGGGAAACACCAATAGAGAGGCCTCAAGAAGGGTTGGGGTTACATACGGTTGAGTTGGTTTTCTATGCACTGGTGTAAGGTGATTTTTGTTATTCATTCTCTAAGTAAGTCTGTTTTGGATTGCAGGAACCCTCGTTTAAGGACATCGTCCTGGGCTTTAGACAGCTCACAGAGCGAGAGCTGCGAATGTTTCCTGGATACAAGTGAGTTCCTGCAGAAATGACCCAAAATATATATATATATATTACAGTCAAGCAGCCTTCAGTATCTTTGATAATGTTTCCAGTACAGCAGTAAATATTAAAACCCAATCCACATTCTCCAATGACACACATAAAGTATCAGGGAAGTGAATTATTTTTCTCAAAAGGTGATACTAGATATAATTTCCTCTCAGCACATCATCTGTGTTTCAAGTTTTGGATATCTTTCTAACTAGTGGATGACCATTAAAATGCTTTATTTCTTCAGGTATGGCTGGTTCAACACAGCTCTCATGGTGGAAGGTAAAACGTACTTACCATGGCTGACCAACTGGTAAGTAAAAACCTTTACATACTTTTTCTCATTCTGGCTTTAATATTCTAAATAATTGCTTCATACTATGTTTTATTGTGTAACAACAAAACAACAGAAATTATATAGAGTGATAAGTTATTTAAAATTAGAATACAACCTGGTATCCTAATGACTTTTTTTGTTTCAAATATACTTGTATATTTATCTTTTTTGAAAAGATTTTTACGCTACATATTTTTACAGTTTGTTTGCAATGTATTGAACTCACTTAGAGATACAATGCATGATAACATTATTCATAATCCTTTATTATTTTATTTAATTCATAATAACCATATATATCCGGTATATAGATTTGTTTGGCTGTAATAGAACAACTCAAAATAGTGAATAATTGGTGTGGACAGAAAAAGGTGCAGGGTTTTTATTTATCTTCCAAATGGAAAATCTGGAAATTACTGTTAGCAATTGTATTTAGCTGCCTAAAGTCAATAGTCTCTGTGACAGTACCCAAATGTAGACTGAAGCTGAAGTGGTTTCTTGAATATTTAATTAACCAAAAAGTTCAACAGAGGCAAAAATCTAAAACATAAATCCACAAAAATAAAAATATACTGAAGACCGGGAATACTCACAACAAGGGGGCAAAGAAATTATGACAAACCAGCAAAGAGTGACTGAACAGGAGGAGAATAAATGGGAGTGCCCTGTATTTAGATCTATCTATCTTCTCATCTCTTTTTTTCCTGTTAAAAAAATCTACTCCCTCGACATGATACAGCAACCAGTGCCATGACTCTGCTCGTATGTCATCATAGTGGCAGTGTCACCGATGACTTCCTTCTTTTCACTCTTTATAGAGACACATTCTCCCTGAGGGTGGGAACTCCTCATTACCACAAACTTTGTCCTCGTCTACATATTAGGTGTTCTTTGGATGCTAACCACAGATCTCTATTTATTCACTGGATTGCTGATAGGCGGTTGGTAGTACAGTACACAGGGCTGTGAAGTCACCAGCCACCATATTGGTACTCCCTAGTTAGACCAGTCAGAATATAAAAAATATGTGCGCTACAGCATCAAACAACCATTATGTTCTCATTTTCAGGGGGTCTTAAGACTTTAAAAGTTAAAATAAAGTCATAACTTTGACACACACTTGGTGTTACATAGCATGAGTAGATTACTGTATGTTATGGTAAAAAAATAGGCACATCACTTTGCATATTCAGCATGAAGTCTATAAATCATGTAATATAACTTACTATACAAATCCATCACAAGAAACTTAGTGTGTTAATGCAGCGTAATAATACTGTAGTCAGATATTAGGAATAATGCACACACACACACCCCATCTGATGATGTGCCAAAGGTGCTAAATTGATGTTGTACATGTAATAAACATGTATTGTTATGGTTTTTACATTACATTAGAGGCATTTTTATGGTGTGACTCCATGAGAGTGGGGAGTACCAAGCTGGAAGTGGATTACCTCATTTTTTTTCAGCCAGTCAGCAATCCAGTTATTGAATAGAGATCAGTGATGCTAACAAATTCCTTTGTATAGCATGTCTCAAGGCTTGGTACCATGGTTGTGCAGCTTCTATTTAAACATATTTGAAATGTTTTTGCAGGTTAAAAGAAAGGGGTGTTCAATTCTATCACAGAAAAATAAAGTCCTTTGAAGAGGTTAGTGGAAGGTTTTTTTCTTTTTTAAGTTTTATTTTTCTAAAGCCATCTCAAAATGATGCATTTTCCTCTTCTGTTCTACAAATATGTTACCGTCTGACAAATCTTTACCATTTATTGCCTATGACTTTTATTTTCAGCTTTCTGATCTTGGGGCGGATGTTATAGTAAACTGCACAGGGGTGAGATCTGGGGAGCTGCAGCCAGACCCAGACCTTAGACCAGGACGTGGCCAGATAGTTAAGGTGAGCTTAGGAGGCCTTAAAGAGCATGTAGAGACATTACAAAATAAACTATTTTTAACATGTTCATCTGGTTCCAGGTGGATGCCCCATGGCTGAAGCACTGGATCATCACCCACAGTACTAAAACTGGAGTGTACAATTCACCATATATCATCCCAGGGTATTTTCAGTAACACAGCAGATAAGCACAGAACTGTCTAATCACACTGACCTTACGCTTGCACCAATGTTTGTACTGATTAACTTTTAAACTGATATCATGCCTCAGATGTTTTTCAGTGGGCAGTTTTACCTCATGCTTTTCTGGAAGTGTCAATGTGTAGCTGCAGACCTTGTTTGGGCTAGTTTGGGATGGTTGTGCCATGAGGTCAGATAGTCAGACCTGTTTTTATTCACTAACAGACCCTACGTGTCTGCAGGAGCCGTCTTGTGACTGTAGGAGGAGTTTTCCAGCTGGGAAACTGGAGTGAGCAGAACAACTCCACCGACCATAAGAACATCTGGGAAAATGCATGTCAGCTTGAGCCGAGTCTCAAGGTGAGATGACGTCAAAAGGCAGAGAAAAGCCACTTTTCCTCTGCTGAAGTTAATTATTCATAATGAGCCTTCTGGGGTGCAGAAGAGATTTTGTGTCTTGCCCTAAAACACTTTAAATATGCAGAAGATAAAACAAAAACTGACATTATTGCATCAAAATGGCAAAATACATTAAAAAATGACTGAAACACTGCATTGCAAAAGTATTACCATTCCTGAAACTTACTCATATTACAACACTGTCAGCATATCTTTTTCTGACTGAACAAAGCTCATAATTTTACATTAAAAAACGTTAAAATTATTCTTCTGTTTGGAATTTCATATACCATTCTAACGCCATTAGAAACATAAAAAACAGCTGTCGAACTCTACAATCGTCTTCACAACTTAAGGTATATCTCTGGCCCAGCACACCTGAATTAATGAATTGGGTTGAAAGCAGAACTCTGTTGGTCTTAATAACATATTGAGGAATAATCTCGCCATTTTACTCAAGCTTGTTGGACCGGTATCCCCACACCATGATCCTGCCACCACCATGTTTCACACAGTGTTCAGGGTGATGTACAGTGTTAGCTTGGCCACTGTAGAAGATGAGACAAAAGCATGCTTTTTTAATTTAAGCAATGTGTTTCATTTAGTCGTTGTCAACTAAGGTGACGGGTTTTTTCTTTGGCTTATTTCTGTGTGGTTCTCCTCAGCATGCCAGGATTGTAGAGGCCTGGGCCGGCCTCAGACCTGTTCGCAGCAAAGTTCGACTGGAACGTGAGACTATTCAGTCTGGTGCTTCCCCAATCGAGGTAAACCCAAGCAGAAAATAGTGAACATTTTGCTCCTCAGTTGCCAAAACAAACAGTAGTGAACTCTTCCAGGTGATACACAACTACGGCCATGGTGGTTTTGGGCTTACCATTCACAGAGGCTGTGCTGAAGAGGCAGCAAGGCTGTTTGGCCAGATCGTGGAACAGAAGGGCAAACGTCCAAAAGCTCGGCTGTAGTGTTGAGCTCAGCAGCAGCAGCAGCAATCACAATTTTTTACACCAGCACTCCTGGTGCTTTCAACAAACCTAACATGTCTTTTTTCTTTGTCTGAGCACTACTGACACCAATGTAACCCAAGATGCCTTAGATTAATATTAAGTTTGAATGATTTACCTGAGCAATGAAAATATGTCAATGATTTATGTCTATGTAAATTTAGTTTGTAGTAAATGCATTGTTTCTAACTGATGATGTAGCTTTATTCATTTTTATAAATAATAAAAAAACATGACTCCATAAGTTGTTGTTTTTTTTTAAGTTTATTTACTGTAGTATCATACACATTTACATCCATCATATTAACACTTAATGCCGCACAATATCTCAAACACTGGTGAGTTAGAGTCTTCTTGGTGGACCTGTGCGTGGTAGTATCATGTCTGTTTGGAATGACCTAGTCTCTATCTAATTTTTCATTACAAACAAAATCAAAGATCACAAACAAACTAGGCTTTTATTTAATTCTTTAACATAAGTTACACAGAAAACTTAACATCCAGTAGAGTCACAGCTGGGGTCTATTGAAATACAGTGTTAACATCTGAGTCATTTGAGGATTCATCAGTACATGAGTGCAAACATCATTTTTTGAGAAAAAAAAATAAAGCTGGTCTATTTTTGATGATCACGTGAATACAGAGGTTTATTTGTCTTTAAGAACAAACTAAAATATGTTACTAATTCACATGTCATTTCTAAAAAACCTTCTAAACAGCTAAAACTTTCTCCACGCGAGAAGATGCAATTACATTTAACGGGATTCCTGACTTCTGTTTGGCCTAAAAAAATAACTCAATATGTGAGTGAAACTTTAACAGAATCATCTGGACTTTATCTTCACTTGTTATTAACAAACCTTTTCCCTGTTAGAGCACATTTCAGGGTTAGAAATACTAAACATGTTTGAGATAGTTGAAATAGCAGCATTATGGAGTGGCTGTGTTCTACTATACCTTGCAATAGTATTCACACCTCTTGAACGTTTTGACATAATAACACAAACTTTAAAGTATTTTATTTTAGAATCTATGTCATTGACCATCACATAATTTTAGAGATCAAGATAATGAATGAGAGGTTTCACCGGCCAGATACTCCACATCTTTTAGTAATGATAATAAATTAAACTGTGTGGTGCATTTGTTTTTAACGCCTTTTACCAACAAATGCTTAGATAAAATCCAGTGGAATAAACTGCTTCTACAAGTCCTCTAGTGAATAGTAATTACTGAAATTAATTCTCAATGTAAAACCAACAGTTTTTGGAAAGCTATGGAGATTACTAAAAAAACAACATCAGGAAACTAAAGAACTATACGGGACAGGTCAGAATAAAGTATAGAGAGGTGTAAAGCAGGGTTGAGTTAAAAATAAAATAAGATCCTAAACTTTGAACACCTAACAAAGGGCTGATCAGTTCCAATCAGTTCTAACGGAAAGAGTGTGACACAGCAGCAAGAACACTGAGGCATATCCAGGCATCTAATCTGGCAGGCCAGACAAATATAGAGCCAAAAGAGGGCAACTCTGGAGGAGCTACAGTGATCCACTGCTTAGGTGGTGATGGTGGCGTTATGCTGTGAGGGTGATTTTTTTCTTCAGGGATAAGAAGCTTGGGAGAATAAATGAGTTAAAAAGAGGAGGATTGTAAAAGAATACAGCTGAAGCTGAAGTAGCCGTGAGGGTGCAGGTTTACCTTCCAGCGGGAAAACAAGGCTAAACCAATGGCCAGAGCTACAATGCAATGCTCTAAATCAATGGACATTAAAGAAAAAAATAATTTCAGAAACCGTAGCAAGAGTCAGAGATCTGAGTTCAGTGGGACAGGAAAAGCTGGATTTAACAACATTCCAATCAGGGAGGCTAAATACAAATGAGTTTTATTATTTGTAAAGAATGGCAAACTATCTACTTATGTGCTACTTTATGTATGTGTTGGTCTTTATATTAGATTCTATTAAAATGCTTAAAAGTTTGTGTTTGTAATGGTATAAAAAATAATTTGAAGCAGCATTTATACTTTTGCAATATTCTGCAATTAAGTCCTTAATTGTTAAGATATTAAAACAGTTTGTACTTGGTCTGAGCCCTCTACCTTCTTAGTCACAGCATTTTAAAGAACTTATTTGTGGCTTTAATCTTTTCAGTGGTTGTTTAACAATTAGAAGGATGTTGCTCTTTCCAAACACAAATAAATGAAAAAGCTTAAGTTTCTTAAGAGAGCGGCTGAAGCTGCAGCCTGATATGTGTCACCCTTACCTTTAATAATAACAACAAAATGTACCAGATTTACTTATAAAATATACATACAATAAAATGGGACATATATATGACATATTTCAACATTTTATCAGCAATGGATAATTTAGTTTTGTGTTTTTAATATTTTTGCTGGGAAATGTTCAGTTCTTTGGCTGGATGGAACTCCTCAGCAGCTTAATTTATAGCTAATCTACTTACTTATTATTTACATACCATTATTAGAATGGCCATTTGAATGTACAATTAAGCCCAAACTTGAGTTTGTTTGTTTTTCTGACAGAACACCAAACAGACATCCATCAAAGGATAAAAAAAAACTACATAGAGGTTAATGATTATGAGAAAAAAAAAATTTTTCGTGCCCAAAATTTTTTATACAATTCTCAGTAATCTTCAATGGTGATTTAACTTATGGGATGATTTCCTTTGGCTTTAGATAGCCTCTTTGTCATAACCCTAACAGATTTGTGTCAAACGTTGATCAGCCTGGACTCTGTCCGAAGTAAACTAAAATTTTCTAACAGAAGAAATAGCTTGGTTCTTCAATAAGTAAAACTGAACTAATGTCTGAAAAATAATGGCACTTTTGGAAAACTCTGCAGACTCTCACTCTATGTGCTGTAATGTAGAAATATTATCCACAGTATCATGCTGAAGAACCCTCAACTCCCAGTGACAGCTTCAGGAAATCTTTGTTAGAAATAAAACAAACGCCATTATGTTTAGACCTTCTAAATTCATGATTTTAGCCTTTTATGTGTGGTATTTGCATTACCAACAAGAAAAGGCTGAATAAGAGCCACAAATTACAGTAAGGAGTTCTCATGTTTGTGAGAAACTCTCTATTTCTGTGCTCCAAAATTATCTATGTATTTATCATAATAATGGGGCTGTTCAATAAAATAAATTAGTTTTACCTAAACGGTCGTTTTTTTTTTCATACATTAAAGTGCATATCAGCAGGCAGCCTATACGTACATGAGATGATCAGATTTCCTTACTAAAAATACTGAGAAGATGTTATGTTAAATATGCTTTGTCTACTACAGAAGCAGCGTTTTAAAAAGGTTCAAAAGTTGAATATGTTCATTTAAGGCTCTTATAAGAAGGTGGATGCATGAAGATACATTTGAAAACTTTCTTATTTTCATCATCCTCTCCTGAAATCTTGTACATTAGGTCTCTCTCACTCACTCCGTGTGTACGTAGTTTTACAATGGAAACCCTGTGACACCAGTGATGTTTAAAGACCTTTCATGACATGATGAGAAAATAAATGGTGCTGCCTGGCTCATTAGGGGTAACATACATGAAGGGCAGAAAGATGGTGTTGTTTTCTCCTTTCTTCTCATCTTGTCTTGTTGCTGCACTTGCCTTCTGTTTGTACCTTAGCAAACACGTTCTCAACCCTGGGAGCTTGAGTTGGAGTGTGGGATTTCTTCAGCTTTGTGGCCTACCATCTCCTGTCCCCACTCACGATGGCTGGACTCCTGCAGACCCCGGCCTGTGGTTTCAATGGGCAGAGCACAGGAGGCAACAGCAGCAAACAGGCAGCAGCAGCAGTACACAGAGAGAGCCAGGTACACTGAGGACTCTAGCATCACCTGTAGGATGAAGGCCCAGATCAAACACAATGAATAAACTTATACAAACAAGGTCCTTTAAATTCTTAGCACTATTTAATCTAGGTGTTACCTGTGCAACAAAAGGAGTGATGAGAGCGCCAACTCTAGCCATTCCACTGCTTGTTCCCAGACCCAAAGCTCTGGTTGCTGTTGGATAAACCTGCAGAAAAAAACAGAAAGAAATTCATGATCTCCTGGTTTAATCTCTCTGCTTTCTCTGCTCATAACAAATTTAAAATCATACTCTATATATATTACCTCCGGAGTGTAAACATAAGCTGCCTGGAAGCCTCCAGCAATAAACGCCCTGGCTACGAATATTAGCACTGTCATGGACACTCTGTAAAGGACAAACAAGTTTCAGAAGACATAGATAAACAAGAATCTGCAAATCATTAAATATAGAGGCGATAATTTACCTCCCAACACATCCATACAGGGGAATGATGCACAGGGAGAAGACGAGGAAACACAATGCCATGGTCATTCTCCGTCCCAGTCGATCAATAGCCCACAGTGTAACCAGCAGTCCTAAGCAAAAGGAAAAAATGAAATAAACTCGGCTTGTTGTCTTCTCCTAAAATGACTATCTTTATGCATTTGCTTGTTTTCTTTAAATTAGAAAAAAAAAAAAACACAATAAAATGAGAATAGGTTTCTTTATGCACAAAGTGAAACTTTCTAAGAATTTACTAATAAAAACAACAAATACTGTTTCTGGAGGAGTTAGAATATCACATAAGACCACCAGAAAATGATTTTAATCACAGCAATGTTATGTCATTACCATGACCTGACAGCTGCTCCATTATTGATAGGAAGACTCATTAGACAATTGCTAAGTAAGCTGATGGTTCACAGAGTGCTGTATTTAAGCACAGTGATGGAAAGTCTAGTGGAAAGAAATAGTGCAGCAGAAAAAGTAGCACAGGCAACAGAGATAATCACAGACTTGAGAGGATTGAACAGTAAAGCCCTTTTGAGATTTTGATAGAAATGCTAAAGGGGGGATATGAGGCAGGTCTCAACTCTGAAGAGCCATCACAGACAGACACTGCAGGACTTGGGCAGCAACAGGGTGTATGGAGAAACGCTGAATTTAAGCAACTTGATGTCCAATTGAATTATTTCTGAAAAGGAAGCCTCAATCATATGCATTTAATATTTTAGATGGGTTTTCTTTTTTGATACTAATGTTAGAAGTATCAAAATCACATTTTATTCATCTAATTCGAAATTCTACTATTCTAAAAAAATGTATTTATTGTTAATTTTATCTCTAGCACACAGATAATATACTTTATGAAAATGACACAACAAATATATCACTCTGTATCTAATAAATCAATATTTAAATTTCACATTTGAAATGAATTACTAGAATACATTGATTTATATAGAGGCTCCCGTAAAACCATTATCTTGTGGCAAAAAAATAATAATAATAAATATTTGATAATGGAATTACTTAAAAAAAAAACCATCCATTTGAAACTAAAATAAAAATGCTGTCTGTATTTCATAATACAATCGTAAATTAAAATCGTAAATGAAGCATCAGATGAGAATGAGGGCCAGTTGCTCTGTCTATTTTGAAACAATTTTTGATATTTTAGTCTTCAGCATTTCAGTTTTTGTTATTATTGCAATAATTTGCTATTTTATCAACAGTTTTCTATAATTCCTATTCCTGATTAAATGGATTACAGACGTTATTATGTAATCAAATATTGATATTACTTATCTTAACATCTTACAAGTAAAATCATATAGTATTTCACTGCACACCTACATATTATTAACAAGAAAAAAACAAACATATTTAATGTATTTACCTGGGAATTCAGATAATGTTGTCCACAGTAGATCTTTGTAGTCATCAGAATTTAAATATTTACACTCCAAGCTGCATCGCAGCTCCTTTTTACCACCTTTGGCCACTAGAGGAAGACATTAAACAGTTCTTTTGTTAGATATTCTCAATCAAATGTCTATCATGCTTTTTGCATAAATCATGTTGTTTCTGGTTGTAGAAGAAGCTTTCTTTGACTCACTTCCACATGCGCCTCCCTCTTGAAACAACTCTGTGGTGAGGAGCACCAGTCCGTAGTAGGAGAAGGCGTTTGCAAACCTGCACTGACAAAGAAGCAACTTGAAATCAGGCTAAGATATAGCCTTGCAATTTTTTCATATGCTTTGATCTTTTCCACATCTATTATATCACAGCAGTGTTGTCCAAACATTTAGGGCCAAAATGGTAGCTGAGAGGCTCCACCAGCCACAAAAAAATTTTAATATATACAATGCGAAAAACACATTTTAACATAGAATTTTGTATTTTCACATAATCACAATAAACCAGAGTATTTTGATGAAAGTAAAAGTTGGGCTATTGTCTCAACAAGATTAACTTATGGTTAAAGTCTTGCATCAAATATATGTGCTAAAACTTGCCAACTGCCTCAGCTGGTTGGTAAGATTTGTGCCGTTATTATTTTGGAGTCAAGGACCTTTCTAAAGTCATTCAGAAGGTCACATATAGCCTCCCCAGCCACACTTTGGACACTACTGTCCTTAAAACCATTAATTTTTTTTGTGCAATATAATTTTCTCCTGCCAGCTTAATTTTTATACTTTCTAATCAAATCATCTGTGACCTTTTCATGCCGACACTCATTTAATTCTTAAACAATCCATCTGTGTGTTATTGTATCTCAGTATTAATCTTTATACTGGAAGGAACTCTTTTGAATGAAAAATTGTTTCAGAAAAAAATACTGAGGTGTATGCTGCCCTCCCAGCAGAACAGTTACCTGAGCCTGAGTTACTTTGCATGGCAGACTGGGCAAAGAAATATTTTCAACTTGTGTAAAACCACTGGAAACAAAATATATACAGCTGCTACTGCAGTTAAAAGTTGTTTGACAAATACTTCTACTTCGGGGGCTAAATACAAAGGCACACCGCAATGTTTAGATTTACATGTATAAAAAGTAAAGCCATGTATTTTACACTTCACAATTCTTAACTACTTTGGGTCGGTCCATGACATACAATTGTAATGAATTACACTGAAATGCATGTGACAAAACAAGCTCGTGGTACTATTATTCTTTAGAAAATACAGATTAAAGATGGCCACTAAAATTGCAGAGGATTGAGAAAATCCCGAGAGAGACGTTTGGGTGCTTTATTATTTGTCTTGTTTACCAAATAAACCAGAGTAGAATTGTAGTCCAGCGAAGTTGTGATGAGAATAAGTCTCGAATCTTTCCCCGGTCTTCCTAATTTGAAAGAACAGATACGTAAGAATAGATAAATGATTGCATGATACATGTAGTATATTGCAGGTGAGACAATAGTTATTAATAGTCCTATAACACAGTACATGCAGACTGCGCTCTACCTGTCTTGCAGCAATAAGTTTTCCCAGAGGCATGGGGACACCGTTTTCTGTTGCTATTCGTTTCAGAGTAGCAAGAGCCTTTTCCTGGTTCCCCGTCAGCACATCATAACGAGCACTCTCTGGAAGCCACTGTAAACACATGCACATCAGCATTAAAGGTGTAAATGCATAACACTACCATACTCTACAGCCTAAAACTGTTGCACTCACATAGCACAGAAAGGCAAAGATGAAGAGAGGGATGGTGGAAAGGCCCAGCAGCCAGCGCCAGCCCAGAGTGGGCATCACCAGGATTGCTAACAGAACTTCGAAAACTGTGCCAATTGCCCAAAAGATCTGGAAAAAAAAAACAGGATGGAAAAGTACTACAGGGGAAAAATACACTTGTTAATGTGTTAGTGTGGAGCAACTCATACCTCAATCAGCAGGATACATGTAGCTCTGGATCTCATGGGAAGAAACTCGGCATACAGGGTCACCCTTGGAGGAATAAGGAACTTTTGTGTTAAAACCAACTCAGTTCATTAGGTTCATTGTTGTCTTTAGAGCTGTGATGGAGGGATACTTACGACTGTGGTGCTCCTCCTATACCAAAGCCCACTAACGCACGCAGGAACAGGATCCACCCGTAAATGGGTGCAAATGCACTCATGAGGCCGTAGAACATGGTCCAAAGTACGCTCAGTGTTAAGCCCTGTTGGTGGGTATGATCAGCACTTACATTTCACATACACTTATCTTATTCACAGCTAGTATTTTTACACATTTAGAGCCCTGCAAAATATTCATACCCTGAGAGTTTTTCTATTAAAAAAAACCTTCAGTTTATCTTATTGAGATTATTTTATTAGACCATGAAAATGGGTCCATAGTTCTTACATGGAGGAAAAATCAAACCTGTATGGTTTGTGAAACCTTTCCAAAAACAAAATGTTAAAAGCATTGCAAGGCATTCATATACAGCCTACGTTGAGTAAGTGCTTTTTAGATACATCTAACTCAACAATTACAGCTGAAGGTCTTTTGGAGCAAGTCTCTGCTGGTCTACCCAATCTAGAGACATCTTGATTTCCTTTTTTTTTTCAAGCTAGATAATTCAAAAATACTGCTTTAGGTTGTATGATTAAATAAAGTCCCAGTAAAATACATTAAAGATTGTGGTTGTGACAAAGGAAACTTCAGAGATTGAAATTTTGCATGGCCCTCATAAACCAAATGGTTAAGAAGACTTCCTGTGGAACTCACCATCTTTCTGCCGTATCTATCAGATATGTTTCCCCAAAGAGAAGAGCTAATCATCATTCCAATGAACACTGCCTGCATCAGTTGTGGAAAAAAAAATAGAATTAGAATTAAGTATAAGCAGGTATATGATTATGTTTATGCATTCAGCAGACACTATCCACAGGGACATACAATGTAGAAACAATTTTACACAGGTATAAGAAGTGGTTCAATTTGGAGGTCCTGAGGAACTAAAGTTCCTTTATCTTAGGGATGGAATAATTATAATCAAGACAATGAATATTATCATGATCCAAGTTTTTAATTTGGGTTTGTTTTAAAGCTTTCTTTATAAGTCAGGTTTCTCTTTTCATTGGCCTGTCACAGTTTCTGCTGTCATTACATTTTTTCAGATTTCCACAAAAGTCCTTTTTTTTTTAGCTTCCCATTTCACTACTTGCCTCAGGTTAGCTATCAGCTTACCTATTGCTGTTTTTCCTTCATATATATGCTGGTTGGGTTTAATAGTTGTTAGTCAGATTTTCTGTCCATTTTAGTTTTGCTACCTTAACCTGCTTTATGTGTGTTCAGTAATTGAAGTCTAGAAGCTCCAAGGAGTTCCTACATTTGTGTCTTTCCCCCCAATTCAACCATTCATATCACAGCATGGCCATATATTGTGACTCCTGGTTTGGTTTAAAATCAATCCAAATAAAACTTGAAGCTTTACACAATTCATTTTCCTGCATATTCACCAAACACTCCATAAAGGATCACTTTATAAACTGTAGGAAGCTCTTACCGATGTGAGTAGTGCCACCTCAAGGCTCGGTAGCCTCCATTCACAGTGGAGCTGTGGGGCTAAGATGCTGAGAATCATCATCTCCATGGCATCAGCCATCTGCACAAACAAAAAGCCCAGATACACTCTTTAAATTAGTGTTGGAATAGACAACATTAAATGTCTGTTGAGCCTACATTGAATTTTTGCCATTCTCACCCAGGACAGTCCAGTGAGAATAGAGAGCTTCCACTGAAATGTGCCAAAGCCAATCGCCTCCACTGCATCTTCTACCATGAACGTGTCTGTAAAATGGTGAACTTAAGTAATTTGTGTAAAGTATTATCTAACTTAAAGAGGAAATGGTAGTGGGCAGAGGCAAAGCACTACTGTTATTTACCATCGGTTGGATTTGCAAACTCTCGTGGCACTGGAGCTCCTTCTGCAAGTGCCACAGATTCCAGATCAACAGGCGCTGCTGTTGTGACACCCTGCTCTCTGCTCTCCACATCTTCCTCGGAACGTGTGCTCTCACCTGTGCGACGGAAGCGAACAACACTGCAAAATAAAATAAAAAAGAAAGGCAAAAAGCAACATGAATTATTTTGGTGAAAAAAAAAGAAAGAAAAACTATAGCCTAAATGAACAGCTTAGGTATAGTAATTTTTGTAAAGCTATTTCTGTGGTTAGTGCTTATACTGTGAGGCCAAGGTTTTCAAGAAAAGGGTATATTCATTACTTCATGTGACGGGAGTCAATTTGTTTCTAAGGTTTACAATACCGGTATGTACAATTTTTGTTTAAAAGACAGTTGGTTTGTCTCTTTTTTTATTTCGATTTTATCTATCACTTATTGGATGATTGATGTCTTTTACCTTCATTGAGGATGACAAACAAGCTCCTAATTCAACACTTCTTTACCTTTCTACTTAAGCCAGGGCCAGAAATCCACCAATTTTAGATGTTGAGATTATACATGGTTTAAAAGTTAAGTTACATTACCAATATGCCACAGTGATAACACTGGTGCACTGAAATACATTTTATAAACATGCAAAAGCATTCTTATTTAATTTGATCAAAAATACATGAAAATCCTTTTCTTTCTTACAGATGGAGTTAATTTATGATTTTTTGCAGCATTTTATATTTTACCCGGTTATCTCACTCAGTCTAAGTCTAGTTGCTGAGCCAAACACTAACTGTACAAAGATGAGTTACCAGAGTATGCATAAGTATGGAGTAGAAATGATAATGCAACCTCCTTTTCCAGTTTATTGTATCAACAATATATTTGTAGAGCTGTGGGCTATAAACTTTGTGCTGTGACTGTAAACACTTCAATTGTTTGCTAATATTGTTACTGAAAGGAAGTAATAAACAGTGTTTAGCAATAACAGTACAGTTGTTTAGGGCAGTTTTTAGGCATAACACATCTCTTGTAAAAACAACTGAGATCTGTGTTTGGTGGAAGATCAGATAGCAAAGATAAGAGTTAAGAAACTGGTAGCCTAATTTTTTTTACTGTAAATCTGCTAACTGGTGGCACAGTGTTAAAATGGATAAATCACACCAAGGCTTGTATATGCTGTGGACTTTCTCCCAAAAACCCATTGTAAGAGAGGTTAGATATCCAGAGAGGGTATAACCTATAATCTTCTCCCACATGCACAAAATTGGTAGTTGCACTTAGAACGAATGCAATCAGCATGTGATGCCTCAACCACAGTAATTAAAGAACATGACCTCCATGTTATTTTAAACATCAAGGTTGCATTTAAGTGTGCCAAAGGTCCTTGAGGATATCCATAGGAATAAACATGACAATATCTAATTTTTTGTGTTCCTTACTAAAGATATATGCCAGAAGGTGCTTTTCTTGGAAATATACATAGTAACACATTATATTTAGATTACATATTTTCAGTTGCTGAGGAAAAACGATGCCACCATTTTAAAAGTCTACTCTTCAGTTTAATTGATTTACATTCACTAAGGTTTACATCAACAATGTTTCTCTGAGTCATGACTTTAAACTGATCGCTCTGCAAACTGGATTGTGGTATTAATTATACAAAAAATACAATTTGTAAATGTATAAATCAATAAAATGTTGTTTATCTTTCTGAATCTAACACTGCCTGTCTGTAAGGTAGGTGTAGGTATAAATCAGTGTTGTGTTCGAGGACTGTCAGGCTATTTGTGGTGAGCTAATGAAATAAACACGAAGCAGTCAGAAAGCAACGAGTCCGGCTGTCACGGTTAAAATTAGGTGATAAAAAAGCAAACAAAAAACAAACAAACAGCAGCATCAGTACACGAACTGTAATCTACTCACGGAAGCTGTCTCAGCTGAAAAAGGTCATCCTCCATTTTTGTATTTTTTTATCCGATACTCCGTTTGGCCTCATCGCAGTTTACATTATCGCGACGGTCGGCGATTTCAGCACCAAGGAGAGCGACTCTGTCTGCGCGTCTGCCGACAGCCAATCAGAGGGCGCGCTTGGCTGGGCTTGGGCGGATCCACATGACTGCTGATCGGGGGCGGGGGAGTCCGCAACCTTCACAACCCGAAGCAGAGAGAGAGCAGACAGCTGTCCAGATAAATACAGAAGTTGACAATGACCGTCCTTTTTCTTTTGAGTTTTAAAAAAACAAAGCGAAAAAAATTATTTACCAAGAAAAGGTATTTAGAATATGAACCAAATCACAGATTTAGACTGATGACTAAAACAGTGTATAAATATCCACAAATTTCCTTCCCCCACCTCTACAATGAACCAAGTAGTGCATTATTGTGACTTGCAAGAACAAAATGTATTTATTTTCTTTTTTGCTGTCAAAAACCTGAAAAAGTCTGAGATACATTTTCATTTATTCTTCAGACAGTAAATACCACCTTGCACCAAAGTTCCAGAGACAGGTGTTTATAGGTAGTACTTTTAAGTTTAAAAAAAACGAAGCGAAAAAAATTATTTACCAAGAAAAGGTATTTAGAATATGAATCAAATCACAGATTTAGACCTATGACTAAAACAGTGTATAAATATCCACAAATTTCCTTTCCCCACCTATACATTGAACCAAGTATTGCATTATTGTGACTTGCAAGTACAAAATTTATTTTCCTTTTTTTGCTGTCAAAAACCTGAAAAAGTCTGAGCTACATTTTCATTTATTCTTCAGGCAGCATAGCACCATGCACCAAAGTCTCAGGTGTTTAGAGGTATGATTTGTTAGTATTATACATCTAGAAGCTCCAATTTTTCCCCACTCCTCTTTGGCCAGCATTTCACAATAAGGGTTACATAGATTGTGCTTTTAGTGTTGAGAGGAGTTGTGAGAGTGAAGTTACCTATCAAAATGATCATTTTTTATTTGTAAAAGAAAAACAAATAGAAAAGAATCTAATTTATAAACATTAAGAAGTATTTGTTATTTATAAACTATTTAATAAATAAAATCTGGTTATCTAATTCATGATTTTCAATTTTTTTCTGACAAGGTTTGGGAAGAATTTCCGGAGGATTCATGTCGTTTCAAGTTGATCCTACTTTAACTTCTCTTTTAACATGAATTTAAATATGATCCAACATTAACATCATCAACGGAGCTAGGCTTTTTTTTTTTTTTTTTTTGCAGCGTTTGTTTTGTGCACTTCTCAGATGCTCCGTAGGGAAACACGCTCTATAAAATATTGGTTCCACATGGACACTGGGATGTTGTGGTGTCGACTAGAGAACACGGATAAGCTTGTGGGGGAGTTTCTTGGCACAGGACCCACAGTCAGGTAAAATCTCCATGTGACAAACACCTACTAAGTGTCCAGGGTCAGATCTTAGCAGGGCTGTAAGTATAGGTCAGTAGGCCGCCATCGTCCGTCTATGACCAACAGAGCGAACACGCAGTCTGATATAATAGTTGTAAGCCTAGTACCTTTGTGTTTTAGTTATTTTTAACTTATTGACTTTAATTTTGGGACAACATCCAAATGTTCTATACTTGTAAAGTCAATTTAGTTTTCGTAAGGGAGCCTGGCTTCGGTGTTTTTGGTAAGTTAGCCTGAATGCTAAAGCTAGCTGTCCTGTGTTTGTTTCACTAACTTTAGCAATTAGGCATCATTTAAATCTGACTGAGCAGTGACAATATATCGTAGGGCAAGGATAGAAACCAGAGCTGACGTGATGAACTCGTGTTAAATTTGGTCGTATCTGATATCACTGATTAAAAAAAGTAAATACAGATTTAAATCAGGCCAAAATCACTTACATCTTGTGATCATAAACACAATTATTCTGTTTGTGAACTTTTTATGTTGTTCACTGTGGTATTAAAACTCTATTGTATGAATATTTGTATGATTGTATGATAACCCTGAGCACAAAACACCAGGAAATAAAAACTCAGTATTTAATGTCTTTAATTTCCCTAAAATATTTTCTAAAAGAATATTAAAGTTGGTAAAAGGTTAATATTAAATAGAAATCTTCTGAAGTTTGCAGTTATTTACAGGTTATGCTTATTGTGCATGTTATACCCTATCATTGCAGTAATATGTGGTACTCCTTTAGTTTCCACGTCTAATTACTGATGCTATTCATTTTTTTCTAAAATCCAGAACATTATCTTTCTTGTAAGTTCTCCAAGTCCAGTCCTTGAAAGTTACTTTCCTGCAACATTCCAGAGCATCACTGCTTCAACAGCTGAGATAAACTATTGATTTTCCTTCTAGTGTGCCATCAAATTTAGTAAAGACCTTGTAATGTGGCAATCATTTGATTCAAGTTCACTGAAGCACAGATTTATCTAAAGCTGAAGGACTAGATTCGGAGACCCTTGTTTTAAAGACTGCTAGCTGTCATTCTGGTAGCTTTACTATGTCACCCTGTGCTGGGCAGCCACTGAGCCACAGCATGTTGGTTGTTGTTTAGAATATGCTCCACTTGTACAAGTTTTTCCATGCAGACAAATGGCTGATTTGAAATCTTTAGGTCTATAAATCCTTTACCGGGTAATTTTCTTTCGGAAGGCCTCACATTTCTCTTTGGATTGCACCATCTTGTTCATTCCCACTGCATTATGTCTGAACTTTAAACAGAATGAGACAAGAACCAGTTGTATAAGCCTGGCCAAATGATCTAATGCACCTGTGTGTCATCTTTGACATTTGTAGTGATGCTAAATAGGGAGGTAATCAAATTTATTCCTTATCTACTAGAATTCAAACATTGTTTTTATTATATTTGATTATGTTTTACACACTGTATGGCTTGAACCTTCTGTACCGTTAGATGTGTTTTTAATTGTCCATGTGCCTTGGGCGTGCAGGTGGATCAGTGGTTAGTGCGCATGACCCATGTAAGTGTCCGACCTGGGTTTGAATCCGGCCCGTGGTCCTTTGCCAGATGTCTCTCCCCCTCTCTCATAGCCCCTTTCCTGTCAGACTACTGCCAGAAAAATGAGCCACTAGTGCCGTAAAAACTCAAAAAAAGAAGAAAAGAATTGTCCATGTGCCTTTAAATGTTAAAAGCACAGATGGTATACTCATTTTTTTGACAACTTTTGGTTTAATAAGTTTCATCTTTTTAATGCCTCAGTTATAGGCACACATTGACTCTCTGCATGGCAGCAATATATTACTCCAGCTGAATGGACTTTCTTGTTGTAGAATTTAATGAAGCAAGTTAACCTTTCACTGGTTGGTTTAGAAGAAGGGAAGGGGATACATTTCGCAGTGTTCTTATTGCAATTTTCATTAACAATATTTCAACAGTGTGTCGTGTCCAATATAGTGTAATATGCTAAAATCCCATGAGAGGCAAAAGTCTGAAGTCTTGAATTAGAATTGCATTCTTCTTCTCCCGACTTTGTTGATTATCTCCTTACATGTTTTTAATATCTTCCTTGCTTCTTTTTTCAGGAACAAGATGATAAAAAACTGGGGTGTTGTTGGAGGGATCGCTGCTGCAATTGCAGCTGGAGCATACGTCCTGTGGGGCCCGATAACTGAGAGGAAGAAGCGGAAGAGAGGTTAGAATATCTGGGGAAAACACTAAGTGGGGGGGGACTAATTTGAACCTATTGTATTTTTTTGGAATATATTATTGAGAATAACTGCTGTGAACTAAATATTGCATATATTGCAATATTAACAATAATGAGGTCATCTGGTGATTACTGAGCATTTGCGTCGTTTCCCTCTATTGTTTTAAATGCAGGGTTTTCGTTTTGATTCAGGTATGGGATTAATAAACTGTTGCATCTAATTTCTTTGTTTTTTTTTGACGGTGCTTTCACATTTCCAGTTATTAACAAGCAGTGATTCTTTTATCTTCTCTCTGCTGCTCTGGGTTACATCAGCAGCTCTTTCTTGTCAGCTGATTGGGAGATTAGATTGGCTTTGGAAAGTTGGCTGACTTCGTCATCATTAAAGCATCTCTCCTGCCTGTTTTAATCATTGCAACTGCTTAGTATAAATCTCACATGTGTGACGAAAGTACCTTCCAAGAATCAGTTACAGTATTTGAGGAAAAAGTAAAAACCCCTTAAACCCCTGCCTGAAACTACTCTAACAGAGAAGGTGTTTAATGTCTAGATCCTATTCAGACCAAAATGCTTTCTGGCAGATATTTACCATGGCCCCTTTTTCTCCACAGGTATGGTCCCTGGTCTGTTGAACTTGGGGAACACCTGCTTCCTAAACTCTTTGCTTCAGGGTTTGGCAGCGTGTCCGTCTTTCATCAGATGGCTGGAGAAGTTTTCAGGTCTGCCCTCGATCCAGTCATGCAAAGACAACCAGCTGTCTTCAACACTGCTGCAGCTGCTCAAAGGTAAGCACACAGTGTCACATCAGATAGGTAGAACATTAAAAAAAAAAAACATATCAATGTTTTTTTCTGTTTTCAATCATGGCTTGTGCCCTAACAGCTCTGTCCAGTGAGGAGCCGGGAGACGAGGATGTTCTTGATGCAGGATGCCTTTTGGATGTTCTCAGACTGTACCGCTGGCACATCAGCTCATTTGAGGAGCAGGTTGGACCATACTGCTGCATGTCTACACTGATCACCAGCTTGATGAATCAGTGGATGTTTAATAAGGCACCTAATCCCATTATCTCAGAGTGGAATGATTTTAATAACAGGCACCTTTAAGATGTCTTTTTGGCAGGGTGCACCTCACCATGCACACTTTAGACATCGGGGGCATCTCTAGTACCTCTGATTGAATTGACTCTTCTGGTTGAATTGTTTTTTTATGCCACTGACCCTACATTTCGTTACAATTAAAATGTTTTCAGTAGGTTGGAAGTCAGTACTTTGGGAAGGCCATTTTCCCTTTTTTACGTCGTAAAAACTGAACTGGATTTCATGTGTTTGGGGTAATTACCCTGACATAAAGTTGTATCCAAGTTTCTACCGTCATGATCTGAGTTGTAGCATTCTTCATTTCATCTGGTAATAAAATAGACTCTGAGCATGATGGTGCAACCACTATATTCAACAACTGGTTTGATTTTCTTTTGTGTAAAAGCCTCATCTTGATTCCTCTTCATGTTTATTTTTTGCCTTTTTGTTTAAATACTCTAATCCTTGTGTCATCTTACTTAATCATCTTGCCAAAAGCCATTTGGCCAATGTGGACTGTCGCACCTTTCAGTCCAGCTTCCTTAGAAACCAAAATCAAAGGAACACTGCTAATTCTGAAAAAAGAGTGGTCAAATATTAAAGCCGAATGTCAGAAGATAATTAATGTTTACAAAAACAATATGGTTCATTTGCAAATTTGCCAAGTAAGATTAATGTCAATATGATGAAGCTTTATGTGTAAATTTGAGTCCGTGTCGACAACTAAGGCAGAGTTTGGATCAGACTGAAAAAAATCATGAAATCAAACTTGTGCACAAACTCTTATTTTAAAATAGGATCTTAAAAATTTTTATTCCTAAATAAATGTATTATGTCTGATTAAAAACTGTTTTTTTTACGTTCTGAGATTAGAAAGCATGTCAGAACGAAGGTTAAAATGAATATTATTGCTTTTAAAGGGCTAAGGTTGTGGAATGGTCTTTCCAAACTGTAATTTAATGTATGATTAAAATTTCAGTTTTTACCAAATGAAAACATGAAGTTTGAGATGATGTTAAATTCCTGTATAATTGTAAGAATGGAGTTTCAGTTAAGTATTGATTGTTAGATGGTTTGGAAATTAGGGTTCGGCACAATAAGCTTGGTGTTAGGCAACACCTTTTTGGTACTTTTGTTTCCAATGCATACATGTAATGGAAATTCACAAATGAATATAGCATCCGGTGTAAACTGCCCAATCTTAGTTTATTGTCCTCTATATTAATTGGATGTGGTTTCTCCCCTCTTAAGGATGCACATGAACTTTTTCACGTCCTCACATCTTCACTAGAGGAGGAGAGAAACAGGCAACCCAAAGTCACACATCTGTTTGATATGCAGTCCCTTGAGGCAAGTTCTCTCCACACCCACTGCTGATCCCAAACTGCAAAATTGAAAACACAAATCTCTCTTTGCTTGCGCTTGTATTCCTACACCGTTCACAGATCCACATGCATGCCTTGAGGTTTCCTGATAAAAAGCCCTTACGCTTACTTATTTAGTGTTTATTGTGTTTCTAGTCTCTTCCTGATGAAGATGCCAAAGCTTTTGCCTGCATAAGCAGAGGTATGTATAAAGATACAAGTCAAGAGGCCTTATTTAGAAAACCAGCACTGAATGTCTTTCATTTGTGTTTTACTTTTCCATAGCAGCTCCTCTTCATCCGATCCCGGGTCCCTGGAAATTCCAGCATCCCTTTCACGGTCGTCTAACGAGCAACATGTCGTGCAAGCGCTGTGAAATTCAGGTGCGTTTCTTTTAGACATATACAACAAAAGTTACTTTCCAGCTTTTGTTATTGTTTGAATAACACCTCAATGATATGTGCTTTAATTTATAGAGTCCAGTACGATACGACTCATTTGAGAGCCTCTCTCTGTCCATCCCTCTTCCTCAGTGGGTAAGCTAAAAATGCCAGGGGTATCAAAGTTAGTCTTTATTTTATTGCACACTTTATTTTTAAGGCATTTTACTCTCTTTGAGCCTTTATCTATGTCAGGTTACAATCAAAGACCTGACAGCCTTATTGTAAAATGGAACGAAAGGGATATAAAAGTCTCTTTACGTATCCAAATCTATTAGCCCAGTGCAGCCCATTAACATCAGTCACTTTGACTCCATCTGTTACATAAAGGCTTCAGAGTTTTGTTAGAAAACATAAGTGAACAAAGAGGATAATGACGACTAATAACTGCAGCAGACAAATCAGCAATAAAGCTGTAGCGAAGTTTAAAGCAGCGATAAAACACAATTGCACACCTATCTGCTTTGACAGAGCAGATATGGAGAGCTTACGTTAGAAGCAGCCAAGAGAAGCAGGGTTGGTTTGAAAGAACTGCAGAGATCCACATTTCTTTATGGAAGTAAAAATAAATGCATACAAGTCAATCATTTGCTAAAGCCATGTAGTGGGTAAAGCAAACCTGTTAAAGAGGGCACTTTGGTTAGATAAGACCAAAATCAAACTTATTAGTCTTCATGCAAGATGCAGCATGTAGAGGAAACCCCCTACTTCACTACACCCTGAGCACAGCCTTCCCATGGTGTAACATGGAGGTGGCAGCATCATGCAGTGGGGACACCTCAGTAGTGAGCTAGTGGTTAGGTAGCTAGAGCTCAATGACACAAACCCTGTTAGAGCAGAGGGTATCAACCAACATCCCAAATAGCAATTTTTCTCCATGTTATTAATGAAGTTTCTCTAGAGCCAAAATACCTCTATGACCCTCTTTTCATCTAAAGAACACTGTCGTTTTTTAATAGCTGAATTAAAAAAAAACTTAAAACCATTTTCTTTATATTTACAAAAATACAGTCAGTTAATGTTTTTTTTTAATGTTATACTTCTGAAAAAAAAGACAGAATTTGTAAACTAAAGAACATAAAAGCCTTGTATAAATAATATAAGGCCTCTTGTATTTAAAATAATTGTTCCCATGTCTTTTATTTTTTTGGGCTAAGTCACAATGTTCCATTATGGTACCGAGGCGCATATTAGGGACCGTAAAAGACCTTAGAAGACAGAAGAAAAAGGGCTCTAAGCTCCTAGCCAGACAGTTTAGATGAAAGCTTCCCATTCAGTCTGATGGAGCTCCAGCTTTTCTGCATCCGTTTGTTGAAACAAACCCCAAGGAAAATAGCTTCTACTCAAAGGGTCTGGACACTCCAGAGATTATTATTAACTACTTTTATAAAATCATTTATTCTTTTTTATTTTTCTTCACAATTATGGACAGTGTTGGGACTAACGCGTTACAAAGTAACGGCGGTATTTTTTTCACTAACTAGTACGCTAACGCGTTAGTTTTTAAATTCAGTAACTCCGTTAACATTACTACATGACGCGTTACTGCGTTATTTTATAGTCTCGGGATCAGCTAGAGACTTAAAAGCTGCAGTGAAGTATTGTCTTCCTGTGTTAGAGAGAGAGAGACAGGAAGGAAACATGCTGAGGGCGTGTTTGTGTTTACCAACACTAGTCATCATGGCGGCTGCTGCAGAGCCCAAGTCGAGTTTCTTCACTTGGAGATATTCTCATTAATTTACTTTTGTTGAGAAAAAAGAAAGGAACATTTTGGTTAAATGTAATTTGTGCCTTGGATCAAAGATTCTATCTACAGCCCAAAACAGCAACTGTAATCTGTTGAAACACCTACAAAAGCAATATGCTGCGATGAAGCTAGAAGCTACCGGTGTCGTGCCAAGGTAGTTATCCCTGTGAAAATTTATATCCCCTCGTCGGGAGCGCGCACGGAGTAGGACGAACAACCAGAGTTAACTCCGCCTCAAATTTAAAAGGTTTTACGTGTATGAAAGTTGAGCTTTACTGTTTTATTCTTTACTTCACATGTTATAGCAGAATATCGCCAGTGATACTGATCTAAAACTAATAATAAAACACAAAAGTTTGCTTGAAAGCTGGTCGCTGACAGCAGTGTCAACTCCTCCCTCTGAAAGCAAACAGATCCTTGTTCTTTTCCACATGTTCCTTAAAAAAAATCTCTCATTGTTTCACAGTGTCCAAATGTTCTCATCCCATTGAAAACTGTTGTAAACCATATACTTGTAATAAAAATGAAATAGAAAATGGACTGCATGTGTAATCATTAAAGACTATATGCAGAAGGAAATTATTTTTTCCTGTTTAAAATTTAGTACTTAAATCTATATTTGTGTTTATATTAACTTACAGTTTATCACTATTGTACTATCCTTAATAAACAGTTTGTGTTCTAACATCAGCCGTTTTATTTCATCCCATATTGCCAGAATTGGCAATATGGGATGAAATAAAACCTGCTGTAATCTGTTCCCCCCCGTCTAAATCAGACAAAAAAGGTCCCAGCTTTTTCATTTTTGGCTTATAAGCATCTTTTATGATGACAATTTGTTCCTGAAACTTTGGAGGTGAATGACCTTTGTTTCTTAAAGTTACAAGAGGGGAACAAATTATAGCAGGCCACCTGCTTTAAAGGGCAATTTTGCAGGCAACTACCTACTATGTAGCATTGTCAGTTTGTTCTGCCCTGAAATAAATTGGCACTTTGAAACATATCTTTGTTGCTTGTATATAGAATTGCTTAGCAGAGTCATGATGCAAATGCATGTCAAGTTCTTCAACAGATGGTATTATTCTCCAGTGCAATAACATTTCTGAAGGCTATAAGGGCATAATGTGAACCTTTAAAAAAAAAAAAAGTAACTAGTTACTTTTCACAGTAACGCATTACCTTATGGTGTAACTGAGTTAGTAACTAAGTTACTTTTGAAATGAAGTAACTAGTAACAGAAACTAGTTACTGCTTTTCAGTAACTAGCACAACACTGATTATGGATTAGCTTTTGTTGATCTATCACAAAGAAGTCCAATAAAAACCCTAAAGTTTGATATTAATGTGACGGAATGTGGAAAAGTTTTAGCTCTTAATGATTTTGAAAGGCACTGCAGCCTTTAACAGTAACAGTTTTTTTTCTATTCTCATTTCTTCACAGGGTCGGCCTCTCTCTCTAGATCAGTGTTTGCAGCATTTTATTTCATCGGAAACAATCAAAGAGGTGGAGTGTGAAAACTGTACAAAGGTATGTCTGTTTTTGTAGCTGTAAAAAAACAAAAACCTTTTCCTCAGAAGATGCGAAGTGTCCTGATTGTCCCTTTATCTGTATTGTCTTTACTTTGTTCTTAAGATTCAACAAAGCACAACGAGAAACGGGCAAATTTTCGAAAGCCAGAGGACGACATTTGTCAAACAGCTGAAACTTGGAAAGGTACTAATTTATTTATTTTAAAAAAAGGCAAAAATAAGGAGAAAAAAACTGAAGAAAACTAGCCTGCATAAAACGTTTAATATTTTTATTAACTAAATATTTTTAGTTTAGTTATTTTTAGAGGAAATCAATGCAGCCCTTTTCTCCATATGCTCCTGTAGCTCCCTCAGTGCCTCTGTATCCATCTGCAAAGACTGACATGGTCCAGCGAAGGAACCCCCATCAAGCGGCAGGAGCACGTCCACTTCACAGAGTATCTATCAATGGATCGTTATAAACACAACTCCACACAGAGGAGTCAGCGGTTCACATTGGCCCATAAAGCCAAAAAGACAGAAAGTTTGGACACAGAAGAGTCCACAGAAAGGCTTAGAGCTAATGGGACTGGTGAGTTGGAATCGGCAGATCTTTTATTGCCATTTTCTTTTCTCCCTACAGACTGGACTTTTTTTTTTCTCTTTCAGATGCAGAACATCATAACAACAACAAACCTTTTTCTAATGGAACCTGTTCCTCCGTATTTCTTCTCTCCCCTGGTTTGAATCCACAGCGCGGCTTCACGTATGAATTCAGGTATATTTAGCAGCAGCTGTAGAAGTGTTAAAACGAGGAGAAGGTTTGCTCAGACATCAAGAGGAAGCAGAACCTTTGAATGCAAACACATTTTTGTTTATAGGTCACTTTTAATGAAGAAGATGTGTTCTTTTTTGTACCTTAGTGGGAAGATTTAGAAAAAAATACAGCACTCCCTATTGTGGAATCAAACTATGGTCCATCAAGCTTGTCGGATACTTTTTTTTTTTTTTTTTTTTATGAAGTCAGAAGTTGAATTAAAAAAAAAATTGACAGTAATAAATGACCCAACAACTGCAGTTTGTATTTAAATGTTTTATTTTATGTAGTAAGCCCCACTAGTTTCCACATATAAAAAGCCATTACATCTGCAGTAGACTATTAAGTGTGATGTTTTTGGAGATGGTCGTAAAGAAAGTGGAGATATCATCCATTGCTGTCAGGTTGGACGTGCAGATAGTTTCATAGTGAAAGCAATGTGTGATGGTGTGTTTCCTTCAGCTCCACAGAGTATTTATTCAAGCTGACGGCAGTGTTGGTTCACCATGGTGACATGCACTCGGGACATTTTGTCACCTATCGTCGAAGCCCCGCCCCACCCTGCAGCACCTCGCCGTTCAGCTCTCAGTGGCTTTGGGTGTCAGACGATTCTGTGCGGAAAGCCAACCTGCAGGAGGTGCTGTCTTCCAACGCGTACATGCTCTTCTACGAAAGAGTGCGAAGGCCAAACCTCGATGGACGATCGGACGAGTGATTGGATGATCAGCCTGTTGGACGTCTGCCTTTTTGCATTAAATACTCAATTACCAGCTGGTAGTTTTCTGACTGTAGTTCTGCCTCAATGTCTCAGTGTTGTCTCTTTATGAACACTCACAGCGGGAGGCTGCTGAACCCAAAGATAAAGGACCCACAAGATTTCTCTCAAAAATCATCGGTTATTTACAGTAAGCTACTTTTCTTTAGCAAATTAAACAGTTTCATGTAACAGACGGTAAAAGTATCTGACAGTTCCCTATAATCGCACTGTTAGAGGCGAGTTTTTAAGGTTGGCTTTTTAATCATGCAGTGGTGTGAACATTAATGAAATATGGGCTCATAACTTCTTGGTAATATGTCCAAATTCCTTCATACTTCATATAAATAAGCTGTTGCATTTTATATAACTTTAGCTAGAAAGTCCCAGCTCCTACTAATGTAATCATTCCCAGCATTGGCTGTACATTGTCCTACTTTGAATGTTTCAGCTGATCTTCTACCATTTTGGATCATCTAAATACTCTAATTTGTAGACCTGCTGAACTAAGTAAGGATAAAGTGCCATATTGTTTGTTTTTTGTTTTATTATTTTTAAAAATTTATATCTTATAAAAATGACTTTTGCAGTAATTATTAGTACGATCTAACCCGGAAATATGACTGGCCCAAACTAACGTTCATAATCTACAGGTTCTGCAGACATTTAGTTGTTTTTGTTATCAAAACTGGATTCTAACTATCCTGAATGCTATTGTTTTTTTCTAAGATCCTCAGCAGTAAACAATTGCATTCCTATCAAGCTAGAAAAGTCTAAAGGTAAAAGTGTCTTCAGATGTTTGAACTGATATATTTTGATTTAAATGTAATTGTTTTCAATTGTAAAAAAAAAATGGTAAAAAATGTACTTTTGTGTTTTAATAAAGTGAGATTACAATGTTTTCAGTACCTTGGAAATGTATAACATCAATAATATCCTTGTGATCGATTATGTTGCGTTTTCAGCCCAACTGCCATACCAAACCAGTGGTTCCCAAATATGGGAGCACACACCTTACGGGGAACTCAGTGTAATGGCAGAGGGGGAAATTAAGTAGCTAAATAACTGATTTTGAGGTGAAAATTTAAATATATATTGAAAAGAAAACATTTATAGAGGGCAGTGTGGAATTCTATTCCTCATTCAAATAAGCATCACAGTTTTGTGTTATGAAAATAAATTATTTCATATCAGTATGATTTACTGAAGTTTACTTTTGGTTGTTTAATTTTTTGTTATAAAACAAAGGGGTGGCCAAACATGTAAAGTTTGGTAACCACTGGCCTTGCATGATTCAGAAGACTGCACTATCAGAAGGTCTACGGGACTCAAAGGTTTGAGGGAAGAATGTGTTTTTTAAAGTAGACATTTTTTCATACTACAAAGTTTGAGTGTGAAATAAAGACTGGACCCTCAGTTCTGTTACAGTGGGCACTGGTTGGAAATGGACGGTTTCCTGTGTGATTCCTGCGTGAATCACGATGTATTTCCTGAGGCCACTATTTTTTTTTTTTTTTCAAAAAGAACTGCAATGTACCCGGACAACCACCAGGCGGCACTTGGGAGCTCTGCCGTGTTTGTGGGCCTGCAGTCAACTGAAAAGTTTATTGAGACCAGAGATGGCAAAAGTACTCACTTTCCGTACTTGAGTAAAAGTACAGATACTTGTGTTAAAAAATACTCTGNTTATCCACAACAACAGATTTTTTTTCTGCTACACCCGGCTACGCTGCTTCGCTTCTTCTTCTTCTTGTTTACTACTGGTGGTTGGCTTTGGCCGCAGTACCGCCACCTTCTGCTCTGGAGTGTTCACACACGCGAACCGTACCAAGACAGTCGAACCGAACGGTTCGGACGGTTTTCATAAACCATTCCATCCCTAATCTGTTCACTCTTCTGTGTGGGTTAGCCTAAATGGACATTCTTATTCTGGCATATCACTGATGTTTAAATAAAAAGGGAAAGTGTGATTGCTACTGTTCAATAGTTGTGCTTTCGCCAGCATTGTGCAGCTTTGTCGTCCCGCCCTCTAAACCCCACTAAACACCCGCTTTGCATCCAAAAATTCAAAACACATCTCTGCGTTCTGATTGGCCTGCCAGTTCTAGGGCCTGGGAAAATGATCGAGGCTAGGCCACTCGCAGGCAAAAATGATTTTAGCCGCTGGTGGGTGGGGCTAGTTTACTAGGCTAGGCTCTGATTTATTTTCAGTACTGACCCTGAACTGTTTTGGTTACCAGGAAGTTTGATGACGTTCCTTCATGATGGCCTGTTTTTCCTGTAGGAGGTTTTTATATAAACAGAACATCAACAACCTGAAGACACATGTTCTGTTTTTAGAGATTAGGTATTATGTATAAAGAGATGCTTCGTGTTTAATGTTCAGAAATAACATGATATTGCTTAAGTAGGTGTATAGGTCCACTCGTTGAGGCATTTCACAGGATTAACATCTAAGATAATTTACTTAAGGTAATATTTCTTCAATTATATTTTCCACTGTCCTTATGGCCGCCATTTACTATTATTTGATAAGTACTATACTATTAATACTATTAGTTACTATTATACTAGTATCATTAAACTGCATAACTACAGCCAGTCAGGTAACAGCTAACAAAATGCGTTCAATGCCAGAAATACAATTTTAAAATGAACCTGATCGGATCATAAAGAATCATTTCTAAATGATGAGAATAGAATGGATGGACCGACCTGATGGATTCTGTTGGCCTGTCCCAGGATGCTATAATCTTCTGCACCAGTTCGACTCGTTCCTTCATGTCCAGGCATGTCCACACAAACCACATGCTGGTTTTTAGGGAGGAACTGGAAACAGGAAAACAAACAAATAATGAAAATGTTCTTTTGCTGTCTTAAAGTGGTGCAAATAAA